GAGAGCAGAGTGGCTGCAGCTAGGGTTTCACATGGGTTTGTTTGAAGGTTTGAAGAAAGCCTATGTGTGTACAAGCATTCCACTCTGGAAGGCAGGATGGCCCTGAATACCATTTGTTCAGCATCACACATGGGGAGAGTTGCATTCAGGTCCTGCTTGCGGGTTCCCCATAGGCATCTGCTTGGCCCCTGTGAGAAAAAGATGCTGGACTAGATGAGTCTTTGGCCTGGTTCTGCAGGGGTCTTCTGATGTTCTTAAGCGGATGCACAGAAACCTCTCAGCAAAATCAGGAAACTTGGATCAGCCCTCAGCTATTAAATACACTTTTACTTTATTGCCAACAGGTATCACGCCCGCAAGGCAATCTCTAACAATGATAATGGTTAGACCTTGCATCTCCTGGCACAAGGAGATAACAACTCCCAATCAATTCAGTGAATATATTGCTATGTTCTGAACTTACCAATTTTGCTGTTGCATCTGCTGGCTCTTAACACACTGCCCAGGCTGATTCATATATGCATCAAGCTTGCTAATACTTTTATTTACAGACCCTGCTTTTACTACGGAATTATGCAGTTTTAAGTGCACTTGATAAGAGAGCCACGTTTAAAACAGTTAAGTCTCCTCTGCTCCATACAGCAACAGAGATAAATGGCAGGTTCAAAGGTAGCTAGCTGTTACCTGTTGTTATTCAACTGCTGTTGACTATGATAAATAGAAGAAGAAATGAACAAGTAAGACCTGCAGTAAAATGTTGCAGTGTTGAGTACTCCTGCTCAGATTTCCAAACAGGATACTCCATTTTCCATTCCATCATCCGACCACCAGTGTTTTGCATTGGAGAAGGCTGTGCACCTTTGGCACCCAAACAGTTTTCCAGCTTTCCATTTCTTTGCCATGCACTGGATATGCTTTTGGGATTAGGCTGTTATAGACACTGACTGGTCCTGATAGCTCCACTTTGAAATATGCAATGGATAGCTTAATGTTGGAGCACAAACATGGCACGCAAAATGTCCCAGGTTCATTGCTTGTTTGGTTTGATTATGTCTACTGTACTCTGCTTTTCAAATCAATTTCCAAAAGCAGCTTCCACCAAAAACCAAAATATAACAATAAAATACTGCATAGAAATTAAAAAAAGACGTACAGCTGTACTAAATTCCAGCAACCCCTGCCCCTGCCCCTGGAATAAAAATATATTTGAACACCATATAAAATTGGGAAGAAAGAGAAAGTCTGTCAGCTTCCCATGGAGAGAATTCTATAACTTGTGAAAGCCTAAATAGTGTTTTGTTTATATTGGAGAGGCTGATGCTGTGAGTGTATCTTACATATTGATTAATTGCCACAGATTATGTGGGGGGGGATTAAAAGCAGGAGGACAACACAGAAAGTGCAGAAATGCAACAGACTAACAGTAAATTTGCCTGGATTCTCTATAAAAGGCAGAGATGCTCCCACTTGTTCATTTTCCACAGTAACGTATCTTCTAGCCTTGGCTTTACAGCCCAAGGATAAGGTCAGCATTAGGGCTCCTGTGGTTTTCTCATAATATGTGGCTCTGCCCTTCAACAACCTAGGAACAAATTTTGCAGATCTAAAATATTCCTGGACCTAGTTTCAAACTTATGCAGCAAGAGCCTTATTCAGTAAAAACTGCCATTTAGTTCTAGCAGACGCATATGTTAATTGCTTAATTGGTTATTAAGAGAGATTTAAACACATTCTGGGACAGCGGTGAATAAGCTTCTGATTTTCTAAGTCTAATTCACATGAGATTTTGTGACATGCAATGGGTCGTGCAAAGAGTCTTCATGTGGAGCATGTAACCTCACAGTTAGCGATGTTCAGGTTTCAGAAGGGAAAGAAGGGGGAGTAAGAGTCAACAAGAGCTACTTTTACTAGCATTCAAAGTTAAATTATATTATTATTATTATTATTATTATTATTATTATTATTATTATTAATCTGAAAGCCTTTGTTGTGACTATCTTCTATTTTCTGATACAAATTACTGGTAAATCACTGTTGGATGGATATGGGGGGGGGAGCACACCAATTTTTGAAAAGTTGTTAGTGTACGCATATTTGCCTCAGTTTCCCTTACATCTCCCTCCACTTCCTGTTCCCTGCCATAACTGTCTGTTTTCACCCACTTAGGCTTGTACCTTCCTTGTAGAACGGATCTGGTCTCATGACCCCAGACTTGAGCAATAGCCAAAGCACAGAGACTAAGGAGGACAAGCCCGTCAAATGTGTGGCTGCAATACTGCCAGCTGAAGGCCATGTCGAGGTTCTTGATACCAAACCTGTAGGGTTGTGGTAGAGCATCTGCTTTGCGTGCTGAAGGTACCAAGTCCCTGGCATCTCCAGGCAGGGCTGGGTCCTCCAGATGTTGTGGGACTCCAAGTCCAATCATCCCCGGCCAGCATGGCCAATTATTAGAGTTGCTGTTCAGGCACATCTGGGCATCCACAGGTTTCCCACTTGACCACTTTGATCTGCAGAACAGGCATTTTATAAGTGTCAAATAATGCTTGCTGTGCAAGCAACTGATATTTTAGTGTGGCAGTTCCTATTCTCTGGAATACACTGCCTAATGATATTAGGCAGGTAACTTCATTGTATACTACTTTTTAAATGGCTGCTAAAAACTTGCCTACCCAGATGCGTAAAGTGGTACCTCGGGTTACATACGCTTCAGGTTACAGACTCCACTAACCCAGGAATATTACCTCGGGTTAAGAACTTTGCTTCAGGATGAGAACAGAAATCAAGTGGCGGCGTGGCAGCAGCGGGACGCCCCATTAGCTAAAGTGGTGCTTCAGGTTATGAACAGTTTCAGGTTAATTTGTTCCGGAGGTCTGTTCTTAAGTACATAACCAGAGGTACCACTGTACTTTAATTCTGTACATTTGTGTTTTTATTTAAAACCGTTAATTTTATCTACCGTATGTACTCAAGTATAATCCAACTCGAATATAAGCTGAGGCACCTAATTTTACCACAAAAAACTGGGAAAACTTATTGACTCGAGTATAAGCCGGTTTACCACACCAGAGGCTGGTGGCGGCAGCGGCGGAGGAAGAACAAGCTGCTTTCGGGCTGCTCGGTTCTCCGCCGCCTCCGCCGACAGCGGCAAAGGAGGAGGAAGGAGGAGAAGTCCAAAAGGACCCTCACTCGAGTATAAGCCAAGGGGGGCTTTTTCAGCATAAAAAATGTGCTGAAAAAGTCAGCTTATACTCGAGTATATACAGTATGTTTTGATTATTTTAATCTGCTGTTTTTAAAATCTGTTTTTATTGCTATTTTTAAAATGGATATTTCATATGCCTCTCTTGATATGAACATAATACAGTGGTGCCTCGCAAGACGAAATTAATCCGTTCCGCGAGAGTCTTCGTCTAGCGGTTTTTTCGTCTTGCGAAGCAACCCTATTAGTGGCTTAACGGATTAGCGCTATTAGCGGTTTAGCGGCTATTAAAGGCTTAAAGGCTTAGGGATTAGCTGCTAAAAGGCTATTAAAGGCTATTAAAGGCTTAGCAGATTAGATAAAGGGGAAAGCGAAAAAAATCTCTAGACTCGCAAGACATTTTCGTCTTGTGAAGCAAGCCCATAGGGAATTCGTCCTGCGAAGCAACTCAAAAACGGAAAACCCTTTCGTCTAGCGGGTTTTCCGTCTTGCGAGGCATTCGTCTTGCGGGGCACCACTGTATAGTGGTACCTCGCAATACGAATGCCTCGCAAGACAAAAAACTCGCTAGACGAAAGGGTTTTTGGTTTTTTGAGTTGCTTCGCAAGACGAATTCCCCTATGGGCTTGCTTCGCAAGACAGAAACGTCTTGCAAATTTGTTTCCTCTTTCTTAACACCGTTAAGACAGTTGCGACTTGACTTCGAGGAGCAACTCATAGAAACGCGGTGTGGTAGCCTTTTTGAGGTTTTTAAAGACTTTGGTGATTTTTGAAGCTTTTCCAAAACTTCCCCAACACCGTGCTTCGCAAGACGAAAAAAATCGCAAGACGACAAAACTCGCGGAACGAATTAATTTCGTCTTGCGAGGCACCACTGTACTCAGACCCTTAGATTTTATTCTATCTGTGGAATGCTCTTCTCCAGCTGGCACCATCGTTGGCATTGCTCCAGGGCTAGGAAAAGGCTTACACTTCCCCCCAAGGCTTTTGATACACTAAGGCAGCAGTTCCCAAAGTTGGTGGTGCTGTGGGATTACCCAGGCAGGCGCGAAGAGGTAACCGGGCGTCATGGGGTGCTGGAGGTGCCAATGACTATCAAACTTTGAAAAGCTGGTATCCCTGGATCGAGTTGATCAGTTTAATTGAATCAATTAAACTACATAGTTTTAATTGGATTTTGAATATGTGCAAATGCTACTGTTTTGAATTTCATTGTGTAATTATATTCCTTAGTGGGTTGTGCAAATTGCTATTCTGAATAATGCTTTTCATAGAGTAGGCTAAGGGGTGCTGGGGGAGGGAGTTGTTACTGGTATACCCCCAAAGCATCCTGTGGCTGTTATGGGGTTTGTTTTGTTCCGCTGTTGTGGTATAATGTATATTTATTTGTTTTAAACGTGTTGCAGGTAACTTGGAGACCTTTTTGCAACAAGCAACTAACACGTCTAATAACAACAATTAATAATACCATTTTATGTAAACCACTATGTGGTATATTAATCTTGCCAAATAACAGTATGATTATAGCAGAAGTAGTAATCTATTACATATCGAAGCAGTGGAGACAAGACATGCCGAATGAAGCAAACTTCCCAAGCTAAGGAGAAGCCAATGCCGATTTGGGAAGGATTTGCTCTCCTCCAAACTACGTAATCCTAAACCCCGCAACTTCGGGGCGCGCGGAGTAGCCTTTGCAAAGAAAGTGTGAAGCTCAGCAGAAAAGTAAAGAAAGTCCTGTGGATTAATACTCAGCCGTTTAGAAACCACATGGTCACCCTTTAGCCACTAGCAGTCGGCTGGGGGCGGACTTCACCCTTTTACCCCGTAAATATAAATAACCAGAAAAATCGGCGGGTCCCCCCTCCTTCTCCAAAGCCTTAGATGGGAAAGGAAAGCTGCAAATCGCACCGTCAGTAACGCCGGCTGGGACGATGGCAGCACCTGTAGGGATGATGGAAGCGATTTTTGCCAGAAATAAAGAGGAGCACCCGGAGCCCCTCCGAGCAGAAGTGCAGGGTAAGTGCAACAGGCAGCTAGCCAACTGCGAAGGAACTCAGATTTTTTTGGGGGGGGGGGTGTTCCTGCCTTTCTCCAGAGAAGACTTCTTTTCCCTAGACGTGTTTACTCAGAGGCAGGTCTGCCTGAGCTGAATGGGGTCCACTTCGTAGTAAACAAATATCGGGTTGCAGTTTAGGGATCGCAGATAAATTAAATTATTTCTCTCCCCACTTCCTGTTTATGAGCATTTCCAATCACCGTCTGGGAGGGACTGTGGCTTCACTGCCCTTGGACTTGAGCCTCAAAGTCCGGTTTAAACGTCCAAAACAGCTGGGGGCAGGTTGATTTCCTCGGAGCTAAATAGGGGGAGGGGAGTCGTACTTTCACTTTTCCCTGGTGGTGGTTTAACGTCGTCTTCTTCCTCCCCCTCGCCTCTCTCAGCTTTCATCTGCCTAGTCAGCAAGTTGGCCATTTCCTCAATGCTTGCACCTAGAGATTGCTACATACACCCCCGGCTCCATTTTTCTTACAGTTTTATTTCTCTAAGGCATTTATATACCTAAGCAATGTACATGAAATAAACCACACAAAATAAAAATTCATCACCTTAAAATTCCCGCTGGAATAACTAAGGACGTTTTAGGCATGTGCGGAAGTTTAGCGAGGAGATTGAAGCGAAAAATCTCTCCTTCCTTACATTTTGTTTACTTACTTCTTTATTCCCCCCCCCCAAAAAAACCCCACTCAGCTCCTCCAAGAAGTTCAGGGCAGCATACATGATTATTCACCCATCCACCTGTGATCCTTGTCTAACAACAAACCTGAGAGGTAGATGAGGCTGATATATAAGAATTCTGGGAACTGTACTTTGTTAAAGATGCTAGTAATGGTTGCATTGTGATAAGAGAATCATAGATTATTTGAGGAAGTAATGTGCTTTCAATGTGATTTAAAGTGTGCTCTGTGTGTGTTGTGTACACACACACACACAGAGAGGGGGGGCTGGCTGGGGGGCTCAAGTACACCCAGTGAGATATTCATGGCTGAGTTGGAGATGTAAACCTCATTCCCATCATGGTTTGCCAACTGCTACACTGCACTGGCTTACACAACCAACAACACACACTAGACAACAGGTATAGGGAACTTGTGGCTGTTCAGATATTTTTTGGACTACAACTCCGACCAGCCTCAGGCAACCTGGCAGATAGTTAGGAATGATGGGAGGTGCATTCCATCAAGTCTAATGGGTGAATGTTTCCCCAACCCTGCATTAGAATAATATGTAGTATAGATTTGTTGCTCTCTCTTTTAGCAAACTCAGGCGGTAAGCACTAACAGGTTTGTAACCAAACTGGGTTCACAGAGAAGCAACCTCAGAGGAAGTTACAGTTTTGCAGACGTACCAAAAAATACCCCCAAAACCCTCTCCTTCCAGCAAAAGAATAAATCATGTTCAATATCCACAGAAAATTGTGGATGACAATAAAGATATTATTATTGTTATTATTATTATTATTATTATTATTATTAAAATTGACTGTTGTGGGGGGCACACAAAATGAAGGTGGGGATGGAATGGAGAGGCCCTGTGGCCATGGTTGGCTGGCACCCTAAAGCGGAGCACTACTTTTAAGAGGTGAGATTGTGCTGCAACCTTTCGTTGTGGCTTGCAGGCTTGGAAATTTAAAAGTCTGTTCCCAATATTCTGCCAGATTCTAGCATGATCCCAGAGGAAGTCTAAGCAGATGTTGAGGCAACGTTATATCGATAAGGCAAGACTTGATTCTCAGTAGCTTGATTTGCCAGAAGTCGATTTTCTAAACCTAAACAAATGATTCAGGTGTGTGGAGAAAGTTGTACCCAGCCATTGGGCCATTACTGCGGTGTGGGCAAAGTCTTGTTTCAACATTGCACATGAACAGGAATCTCATAGCATGGGTGCACAGCAGGTGAACCCACTGAGATGTCCGGGATTCCTTATGATGCACAAAGCATTCCTCCACCTGTATCCTACTCATCATAATGACAGACACTTTGCTACTTTAGTAAATAAAATCTCATTGTTCTAAAGAAAGGCTTTCTCCTATTTTTCCTACAAAACTGCAACCAACAACTAATGAGGGAATACAAAATATTCTTCATTGCATTAGCATACCAGATCCAAAAATAGCTTCAAAGGCAGACAAGTTCAAGACCCATCAGCACTGTGAAAGATTCAGGTTTAAAAGATTTGGTTGACTTCCACTGTGCATTGCCATTTTGATTTTTTTAAAAAAATAATCTAAATTATTATAAATCAAACCAAATTAAATTAGTTTAATACAAGTTCTTAAAATCCAAATTACAGAGGAACCAACCACAAATCATGCTGGAGACATAAAAGTATTAGCTCCCCCACCAACCCCTGCCACACATACCGTAGCACTAATCCACATCAGGGACTCTCACAAGAATAAAGCTAAGTTTGGCATTTCAAACCTGAGACACCAACATATCCTGCAGTCTGGACTTCCTTCCTTCCCTATAAATGCCTTGTGCATGTGGCTAAAATCCCCATATAAAAACGGAAGAACAGCATCTTCTCTGCCTGCCTGCCTCCTGTCTCCCTGTTTGGTGTGTGTGTGCGTTTGCACGTCTTTCACTGTCAATCATCATGTAATGCAAATAAGCACGTTAGATAAACCTAGCTCTTTCATAAGGCATTTATACTGGATTAGATCAAGCCATTTTATAAGAAATATGTTGCTCTTGTAAGAGGGTAGCTTGATTTGGGTTAAATATTAGGGCAAACGTATCTTGGCACAAAGGATAGTTAAGTAAGAGAAAAGTTGCCTCAAGTTATAAAAGGAATAATAATTAGGGGGACACACAAGTTATGAGATTGACATCATTGGAAATGTTTGCAACTCAGACAGGATAAGTAAGCATATGTAGTATTGCTGAGGGCTGCTGGGAATTGTAGTTGAACCATCTGCAGGGCACCAGGCTGCTGAAGGCTGGCTGAGTGAGAGCCAAGAAGAGGCGAGCTCCCTTGGATTATTTTCCTTCTTTACTTGTTCCTTTGAACAGCCAAGTTCCCTTCATTTTCAAAAGCACTTCGCAATGTGGCATGAGGAAGAGGGTTGTCGAAGGAGGGGAATTATCTAAAGCTCCCTTGAGTTTCACTGGCCTAGTTTCAGAGCCTTTGGATCTTGGTTTCCTTTTTCTGGCATGACCAATGGCTTGAAGATATTGCTGTCATAAATTCTGCCATGGTCAGTGCGTCATAAGTCTAGCACTGGCATTATTACTGTAACTTGGCTCATCTGGGATTTACATCGGCATGAGTGCCTTTGTGAAGTGTGTTGACATCGACTTCTACAGATACACACAGAACTAAATGATAGGTAGATTTAAATGGACAGTGTGATTGTTATTGTTTACAATAAGGGAGAATTCCCCATTTGCCACTCAAGTGAAGATTGTAAGGATGTAAAGAGGAGCGCTCCTGGTGTCAGCTAAATCTACAGAGGTAGTCTCTGTTTCACATACAGAAGGTTCAAGGTTTAATCCCATGTAGGGCTGGGAATGTCCTTCATCCAAAACCCTGGAGAGTTAATATAGACATTACTAAGCTTGGGCCAAGGTTCTGACTCAGTATATGGCAGCTTCTTATGTTCCTATCTAGCCCAGTATCCAATTTCTCATGGTGGCCAATTCTGTGTAAGGGATGGTCCACCACCACTGCCTCTAAACATGTAAAGTCCATAGAGCCGCACTTTAACCTTTCATGGTCGGAATTCAGGGGAAAGTGTGGCTTATATTAGGCCAATACAGTAACAAGTAGGACCTACAACAGACAGTTCAGGATTCCAGCCACTTCATTCTCTTCCCCCTGGTTTTTCATTTCTGCCCCCTGCCTTGCAGCCACCAGTCAGCATTCTGTGGCGGCTGAGTTCTCATTGGTCTGCTTTAGATAGTTCCTCCGCCCCGCTCCCCCACTTGGGGTTATTTCTCAAGATTTATTTGCTACACTTGCAAAACTCTGGCTTCTCCAACTCTGCTGATAACACCCTCTTGCGTGTGGGTGGTGCCATTATGGCTATATAAACAATGGCGCTCACAACCAAAACATCAGAAATAGAAGAGATTATAGGCCTACCCTCTAAAAATCCGTGTAATCCATGCTAATTGCTCAGCCAAACTGCTTTATTCCCCAGACTGCAGCTGGATGAGAAAGTTTCAAGGGTTAAGCCTCCCTTTTGGTGATCTTCCACTTCAGACTGTGTTGCCATTAGCTAAATGGTTGGGGAGGGGTGTCTAAACATACTTACAGAAGTACTTGCAGTTTGTAGGTCCATCCTAACAGTTGGGAGAAACAGAAGTTTGAGTAGTATGGGGTTTTTGAATGGTTTCTTTATTGGGATGGTGCCACCCTACTGACTTAATACACCTTTTTTGCCTAATGCATCCGACACCTGTGTCTGGTAGCATCCTTCCATTTCTAAGATCAGCAAACAACCTCCATCCTGTCACTTTTGACAAGTTGCAAAATTGATCTCAGCCTGCCATATTAATTTGGCAGGAGTGAGGGCTGGGCAATTGGGGGTCATTCAACAGAAATACTTCTGGGGTTCCATTGAGGCAGAAACAAATATCCTACTGCAAAAAGTCCCTTTCTTTTCCAGGTGAGATCCCAAGCTGGATGGAGGGGATCCTTCTCCGTAATGGTCCAGGCATGCATACAATCGGGGAAAGTAAATACAATCACTGGTTTGATGGCATGGCTTTGTTGCACAGTTTTACAATTAAAAATGGTAAGCTTGTTTGTATTGCATATCTATTAGTAGTAGTAGTAAAAACCTATCTGTCCACCCAGGCTTTCCCTGGGTTCCTGTTGCCTTTGGTAACTGTTGTTTACTAAAATCTATTTTTCTTATTAAATTTTGTGTGTGTTTTGATGTGAAGCTGTCTTGGTATTTTCTGGCATAAGTTTAAGGCATAGCTATCTTGGTATTTTCTGGGTTGGCGGGAGCAGTACAAAAATCCATTTTATAATTATTATAATAATAATTGTTGTTGTTTAATTAGTATTATTATTTAATGGAGGGCACCCTATTGACTATCTCTGGTTTCATGTATCACCTTCTGTATCTATTCAAAGTCCGTTTTGGTATCTTCAACTAAAACAATGCCACAGATCTTATCATCAGAGGCATCCTGAGATGCCATACAGGTAAAATTGAATAACTCATTGTCAAATGCCTACAAAGTTGTGCCCAGCCTTCTCTTTTCTGCAGGTTTAAAATATTCAGTTTTGTGAAATGTTGGGCTGACATAGAGAAGGGCTTTGTCCAATATATAACTTACGGGTTTATGAACATGTGCCTTTAAAGAAGGAAGGCCAACTTCCATTCTGAAGAATGTCTCAGGTGTACAATGTGGGACTACAACTAGTGTACACCATAACTTATTTTTGGTTACACTGAATTCCTCTCTACTAGAGTTATCCCTAGTAGAGGGACACGGGTGGCGCTGTGGGTTAAACCACAGAGCCTAGGACTTGCCGATCAGAAGGTCGGCGGTTCGAATCCCTGCGACAGGGTGAGCTCCCGTTGCTCGGTCCCTGCTCCTGCCAACCTAGCAGTTCGAAAGCATGTCAAAGTGCAAGTAGATAAATAGGTACCGCTCCAGTGGGAAGGTAAACGGCATTTCCGTGTGCTGCTCTGGTTTGCCAGAAGCAGCTTAGTCATGCTGGCCACATGACCCGGAAGCTGTACGCCGACTCCCTCGGCCAATAAAGTGAGATGAGCGCCGCAACCCCAGAGTCGGTCACGACTGGACCTAATGGTCAGGGGTCCCTTTACCTTTACTAGGGTTATCCCAGATTTCTGCACCATATCACAAAATACAAGTTCAGCAACAAAAACATTTAATGCCAGTTTTAACAAAACATAGCCTGCTGTATAATACAGTATCTTTGTTATCCCTAATAAATAGGCAGAGTGCCACTGAGTGATTTTGCAAAAACGGAGTCCAATCAGATGTTGGATAGAGCCCCCTTCTTCCCCGCCACCGGCTAACAGACAAACTGAAGAGGAACATAGGAAACTGCCTTCTGTTGAATCATACCATTGGTCCATCTACCTCAGTATTGTCTGCACTGACAGACAAGGGCTCTCCAGGATTCTAGGCAGGAGACAGACCTGGAGATGTTGGGGATTAAACCTGGGACATTGCATGCAAAGCTTATACGAGGCTTCCTCCACCTCGGCCCTCCAAATGTTTTTGGCCTACAACTCCCATGATCCCTAGCTAGCAGGACCAGTGGTCAGGGATGATGGGAATTGTAGTCTCAAAACATCTGGGGGGCCGAGGATGAGGAAGCCTGGGCTTATACTCTGTCACTGAGCCCTTCTGCACACAAATGTGCAATGCAGCTGATTGGAGAGTGAGTGCTCAAAAGGCAGATTTTACCTCCAGTTACCACAGGATGGAGACACACCATAGGAGATGAGCAGCAAGGTGTCTTATGCCACAATAAATGCATTAGTCATTTGTGATGCCAGAGACATGCCATAATTAATGTGCTAAAGCTTTTGTGGGCAACAGGTCATGGCTATCTCTGTCAAGCTCCGCATGGGTGTTTCCCAGAGGCATTGACTAGCCACTGTTGGACAGTGAATGCTAGTTTAGGGGAGAAGCTGAGATCTAATCCAAAGAAAAAGCTTCTCAACTTCAGATCCAGTGATGGCAATCTCCCTTTGTTGTTGTTTAGTCGTTTAGTTGTGTCCGACTCTTCGTGACCCCATGGACCAGAGCACGCCAGGCACTCCCTTTCTTTAGCATACATTATAAATATCTAGCACTGTTTGGGCTCATGACTTAGATCCTGTTTCCTTACACCCTGGTGCAGTTTAAAGGAGGAACTGCAACCCAGTGGAAGAACAGCTTTTTTGGGTGCAGAAGGTCCCAGATTCGATCCCTGGCATCTTCAGATATTTGCTCAGGTAGCAAGTGATGGGCAAGACCTCTTCCTGAGACCCTAGAGAGATGCTACCAGCCATCGCTTGGGGGTTGATAGGAGTTATAGTCCAAAACACCTGAAAGTCTCCAGGTTGGCAAAGTCTGGCCTATGGAATTGCCTGCTAGGCTAGAGGACAAATAATCTGACCTGGAATAAGACAGCTTCCGAACTGTACATGTGATGGTGGGAAAGTACTTAGTGACTTTCACTTCTGCGTGATAAAGGGGAAGTACTCCGCATACGTTAAGAGGCACAGCATTTTCTCTGCTCTTGCCTTTTAGGTTAAAAGTCAGTGCATTAAACAGGGATGTGGAACCTTTGACCTTCCAGATGTTGTGGGACCCCTGTCCCATCAGCCCAGCCAGCATGGCCAAGGGGTGATGGGAGGGTCATGAATTTCCCAGTCTTGTACAGTTCTTCAGCTGTTTGGGACTATACTGCCCATCATCCCTGACCTTGGGCCAGGAGGGCACCAGGTTGGAGAAGATGGTTAAAGTCATTTTCTCCGAGCTTCTGAACCCAGTTGCTGAGGTCTTAACTCAGGGACCAGGGAAGCAGGTCTGCGCTGGTGATTTCTTTCCTTCCTGCTTCAAGCCATGAAGTAGAAGCCTCTTTATGGAGGCTGGGTGTAGCACCAGGGAATGCCAGGCTGCCCATAAAAAAATCTGTAAGATTCATCTTTATGGTGATGCACACAAGATCTGATGGGTTTCCCAAAGGTAAAAGGGCAACTTGCTACATTAGCCTAGTTTTCACTGACTTAAAGTCTGCCCTTCTGCAGTTTTTTTTAGCTTCTGAAGCCAAGCACGAAAGTAGGCCACTTGTGAAACAGGTTTCACTCTTCAGCCTATTCATTATATAGTAATGAATGACCCCAATACGGGGAGTAGCAGCAGCCAAAACAAAGTGACCTTGGCTTGGTCAGGAGCAAATAGTTCACATGATCCTTTTCTCTGCCTTCCCAATTACTTCTGGTCTGAACTTTGCCACAATTCTGAACACGTGAAAAGTAACCACTCTGCGCTTTCTGTTTAACACAGCACAAGCTTGAAGAGGTTGTGTGTTTCCAGGACAGCAGATGCTGTGTTTTGGGGATTTCACTGTTATCATATTCTTATTCTGGTGTTTTCTTTAGTTTGTAAACGTGTTTCCACAATTTGCATTTTTACAACACAGCCAGTGAAGTAGTGAAGTTTGATTTTTCTAATCAGGGTCATTGGCAGGCCCAGCCGATCTGGAATTGTTATGGGTTTTCTTCCTTGTTCTGAACCAAATGCCTTTGTGTGCTTTGATTATAAAAGCTTCTAACCTTTTCTAGACCCAGTACCTTCTTACACAACCTGGATAGCTCAGTCGGTTAGAGTAGACTGCTCCCCTTCCCCGGGGGGCGGTGTTGTAGGCAGGCCACACGCTCTCCCCATGTACAGTGGGGGACGTGGTGATGAGTCCTGGCTGCATCACGCCCCCCAGCCGACCAATCCGGCCAGCCAGGGGGCGTGGCTTGCATTATTTAAACAGCTGCGCGGCCAGAGGGTTCTCCCTTCTTACCTCCTCTTTCGTCGGATCTCTGCCGCTGCTCCCGTTCTGCTTGCCTTAGCTTCCCGCTTCACTGTGTAAACAAGCAGTAGTTTTCTTTGCTTTTGCCTCTTTTGGGTGCTGAAGCAGCCGGTTGCCTTCGCTTGCAACTTGCGGTTAGGCATTGGTAAAACCTGGTTTACCTGTTCCTCCTCTTTAAGAGTATTCCGTTAAAGGGATCTGGGGGGGGGTGGATCTTGTCTGAAGCCTGGGTATGGGCTAGGGCCATGCCACGACCCCATCGGGGACCCTGGGGGAGCTCTCAGTTGATGTACATCAACAGGGCTCCCCCTACTAGTGGTTGACCCTTACTAGACTACCTGCATGGCAGGCAGGAGTCAGATATAGTCGGTTCAATTCCAATGCCTAAGCCAATACCACTCATATTCTGTAACCAATAAAGTTGTGGCCTTAATTATCCCATTTACCTGAAATACTGGTGGCCGTGTGTTTTATTATTCAACAAATGGAGGAGGGCTCGGGGCCTTGACATGCAATGGTGCTGATGCTAAGGTTGCAGGCTCAATCTCCATATGGGACATTTGCATATTCCTGTAATTGCAGGAGGTCGGACTAGATGATTCTCAGGGTCCCTTCCATCTCTACAATTCTATGATTCTAACCCTTGTCCTGCATCAGGAGATTTGTATTTTTCATGGCAAATATTTGGGATAGCCTATGTGATGCCTTCCAGATGTTGTTGGACTGCAATTCCTATTGGCCCCACTGGCTGGGGCTGATGGGAGTTGGAGTCCAACAACATCTGACTCACCTTTAAGTGTGAAGTTCATTGAGTCTCTCCCCTACCTCTAGCTCAAGCGCTGTTTGCAGGCTTCCCATAGGCACCTGGTTGGCCACTGTGAGGACAGGATGAATTAGACGGCCCTTTGGCCTGACCCAACAGGGTTCTTCTCCTGTCCTTAATATGTGGTCCCAAAATCATGCTTAGAACTATGTCTGCTGAGGTCAAACTAAGGTGTGCCTTTTATACAAAAGTATCAAATTCAGTTTGCATAATGAGTGGGAAATTGGGACCATATTAATCAATCCATGTGTGGGATTATGTGTGCATATAAAGCTTTTTCTTTTCTTTTCTTATCAGGTGAAGTTTTCTATCGAAGTAAATACCTCCGCAGCGACACATACAATTGCAATATTGAGGCAAACAGAATCGTGGTGTCAGAATTTGGAACGATGGCTTATCCAGATCCATGTAAAAATATATTTGCCAAGTAAGCAAGTCTTTCTATACACAATGTGATGCTCTTCCCTGCTTCCCTTTGAGGCCTAGCTCCTCAGTGCCCCTTCTCTCAGGTTCTTCAGGAGGAACCAGGGTTGCCATCTGCCCACCCCTTGTCACCATCCCCATTACCTTGCATGAGTGGGAGGGCAACCATCTGCATCACAGAGCCTCCTGTACTCAAGGAAACGCCCCACACAATATAGAACCCTGATTTTCTAGGCTCATAAGAAGCTGTCTTACTGAGACAGACCATTGGTCCCTCTAGTTCAGTATTATCTACCACAGCTCTTTAGGGTTTTAGGCAGAGAGTCTTTCCCAGGCCTACCTGGAGATGCTGGGGATGGATCCTGGGACCTTCTTCATTGCAAAGCAGATGCCCTGCCACTGAGCTACAGCAAGCTGCAGATGGTCAACTTCACAACTCATGGAGGTTGACACTAGCCTGGCTTGCACCTAATGCTAAACTATGGTTTATTAAACTATTGCTTAACATTATGTAAAACTGTTGTTTATTTATGATGTTTACCATTAACCATGGTAAATTACATGTGAACCAGGCCACTGTTGCAGCACAGCGTTGGCACACTCGTCCCTACTCTCCCTATTCTACTTATTTATGACTATAATGCCTCCTTACAAAGTGCTGTTTTCACATATACACAGACTGCTCCTTCTGTTGACTATTAACTGCTAGCTATAGGTTTAACGAAGGAAATTGTTGTCCAGACTCCTTAAAAATACCTACGTGAGAACAGGATTCCTCTCCCACCTTCATTGACTCAGAGGTCTCCACCTCCCTCTGCATACATAACAAATGCAGGAATTTGTTTAGTCCAATTAACATAACCATATCACTTGCAAACCCAACACTGGCATAAATCGGAGGGTATGTATGTATGGAATTTTGCCCAGGTCACAATGATTAAATTGTAATGCAAGCTCTGCATACCTGTCAGATACAAATACTATTTGCCACCAATCAGCTGAGTCTACACCTCCCCTCTCTACTATTCCACTTGTGCTGATCAGAGGGAAACAGTTCAACAGCAAGGAAAAGGGGGCCTAGGAGGAGAGGCAGATGGAGGAGAGGAAGTAGGCCTGGGAAGTGGCTGTGAGTTAGAGGGGGAGGCCCTTTGGGCCACATAGAACCCTTGAGCCAGAGGTTCCTGACCCCTCCCCTATCTTTGATTTCAATTACATGTGACATATAAAGTAGAGTGGGGAATGTATGGCCCTTCAGATGATTTTGGAATCCAACTCCCATCAGCTCTAGCCATCATGGCAATGGCCAAGGATGGGAGTTGTAGTTCAAAGCACCAGGAAAGCCAGAGGCTCCTCATTCTTGATACCAAGGGTCACTACTTAAGCTGGGAAATGTGTGTTTGTTTCAGCATTACAAAGATACCTGGGTGCTTTCCAACATGCATTTTGCTGATGTTAGTAGAGGAATGTGACATCCTAGCTACCCAACACTCCATTATTCAGAATTTTAAAAATTTAGTAAATACTAGCAACATGGCAGACAGGACACACAAGAGTATCTACTGAATGCCGTTCTTAGCTCAACACACGTGGTGCCATCTTTGTCAGTTTTTAGGTGCCAAGCTAAGTCCTCTGTTTACCCAGGCCTTTGGTGAACTGATGTCGCCTCCTATGGTGGTGCTCCTTGGTCCTTTGATTAGCATCTTATGTATATTACATTGCCAGTGTTTCTCATTTTTTCTGGCCTTATTTTGCTTCTGTGTGTTGTATTTTTACTTTATCAAGTCTATTTGACACTTTTTAGTGTCAAAATTGTCCGATAAATAAAATATATGACACTTAATCCACCAACAGGCCAAATTCACAAACATACCATCCCTTGAGTATTGTACAAGTGGTGCCTTGCATGTGTGAATGACCTATCACAGGTGTCTTCCCCCAACCTGGTGTCTTCAAGATGATTTGGACAAACAACTGCACCATCCCTGACCATTGGCCTTGGTGGCTTGGGCTGATGGGAATCATAGTCCAAAACATCTGAGCAGCACCAGGCCGGAGCCATAGGTAGAATTTAGTTGCTGCCTGAAGTACCATCCTATTGAATGTGGTGTATTCACAAGTTCAGCTGCAGATTAACACACATTGTCTAACCAAATAATATGCATGCATATGTACCAAACCAGTTTTTCACATTTTCTTGGCACTTAAAGAAGTATCCTGGTGAAGCTGATAGGAAAGATTATCACTGTGATGCAATTTCCCCTTCCTCCCCTTGACCACAGGGCATTCTGTTATTTATCCCACACAATACCTGAGTTCACAGACAACTGTCTCATCAACATAATGAGAAATGGTGACGATTACTACGCTACAAGTGAGGTTAATTTCATTAGGAAAATCAATCCTCGGACTCTGGAGACCTTGGAGAAGGTAAGCATTGGTGTCTTATGAGTAGACCCCATAAGGCAAAAGGCTAGAAAATGAGAGCAATGGTGGAGTTGGTAAAAATACACCTCAAATGATAAACCACTTTGCTGCAAGGAGATGATTTGACAGAGGGCATAGTTGTAAACCTAATTCCAAAGGAACTTGTGTAGGAGACCCCACTGTGCTGGGCCACATCTGCACTATTGTACCACAATCATGGCCTCCCCCAAAGAATCCTGGGAACTGTAGTTTGTTAAGGCTACTGATAGTTGTTAGGAGAACCCTATTTCCTTCACAAAGCTATAGTTTTCGGAATTCCCTAGGAAGAGGGATCAGTTGTTAAACCAATCTGAGAACAGGCAAAAGAAAGGAAGCGGGTGTTTCTCAACACAAGCTCCTTCCAGAACCAAGCTCCCAAGTCCTTTCACACAAAAATCCACTTCAGGATTTATTCCAAGCGTGCCTTTTCATCAGCCTAAATTAGGAGGGGAAAATATTTTTTAGCTGTTGCTGTTGTTAGACAAATTGAGAGTTTGAAACCCTTGCAAATCACCCAAACATCTACCTTGTGCCCATCCCTGCTTCCAGTGTACCATTCAGTGCAATCTTATACGTGTTTGCTGAGACGTAAGGCCAACCACAGTTTCAGTGGGACTTAATGCCCAGGACTGGATCCTTTCTCAACATTTCTTTATTCATGTCTCATTATAGCACTCGGAAGACAACTAAACCTGGGAGGGGGGGATGCCACCTCCTGGCCAGACCCTTGATCTCTACACATGGATTTTATCTTCTACACAGAGCCTATGCATCTACAAACTGTGTGTCCATATACTCTGTGTACAAGAGCTGTTCAATGCATAGATGTCGGGACTGGAGCTAGCAAACATGATTCAGCTCTACCACTGAGTCCCGGCATTGATTATCATCATACTTAATTGTCCTCATAAATCTTACAGCCTTGGCCAATGCAGATGAATCTGTCAGATGTAATTAGGTTTAGTGGATCCTACCACAGTGGGGTGCAGTTGTCTTTTTGCATGAATTATACTTTGGATTAGATAAAGTGAGCCTTCCATATCATCCTATAATTCAGTCATGCAGCCATCAGTGGTCACCGTCAGATGGCTTGTTTATGGAGCATCCATCTTGATTCATTTGTGGGCATGTTTTATGATGCCCCACCTGGCAATTGTTGCCCCACACTTTCCAGGGCACTTTTCTATCCCTTTCATTGCTGCAAAAAGTTCATCTTTACAATAGTGAGTTTGTTGCCAGTTTGTGACTGAACCTCATGCACCAAAATAGTGACGGTCTGGACAGAACCCTTGTGGCCCACTGCCATTTTAATCTTTTAAAGTCCCTTCGATTCTAGTACTCTTAAACTTGCAGGATCTGAATGAAGTATAATTCTGAACTAATGCTTTAGTCTGGGGTGGGCAACCTTATCTCTTCTGCATTCCCTTGGGGGCCAAATGTCTGGTGCTGTAGCTAGCATTGGATGAGGCCAGAGCCCAAATTGGATGGGCCATTCCTTCTCTCTCCCCACCCGTCCCACCTTTCTCCCCATCCTTTCCTCTTGCATGAAATTAAGCTAAAGGCCACAGGTTAAATACCACAGTTTTAGTCTTTGCTCTTCCTGGTGAATTGCCCAACAGAATCCTTGGCAAGGGTAGCCGTAGGTTCAGTGGAGGCTGGTGCTCATTAGGATTGGTAGGACAGAAAGCAAGGAGGCAAACAGTAGGTGGAGCCAAAGCCAATGTTAGCAGAGCTAATATATTCCTCCTGAGTTCTACAAGGGCAACGCTGAGGCTAAGGAAGAGGAAGGCAGCAGCCAGTGCCACCCTCTGAACTGTTAGTTAAGTAGGAAGGGAGGCAGGTGGGAGTTGCATGCGGGTAGACGTGAGTCTGGTGGGGCACTGTTCTGTTTGCCCTAATGGACCAGCCTCCCCTGAACAGATTCCTTAGCAAAGGTGCCAGCACTTTCTGGGATGTGAATTATGATCATTAACACATCCCATCATCCTTCTGTCTTCTTTTGCTGTCCTGCGGTAGGTTGACTACACCAAGTACGTGGCCATCAATCTGTCAACATCCCATCCCCATTATGACAGTGCTGGAAATGTTCTCAATATGGGTACCTCCATTGTGGATAAGGGGAAGACAAAATATGTTATCTTTAAGATCCCTTCTTCAGCACCAGGTAAGAGGCACAGGGAGCTGGCATCTCTGAGCTCCTTATTAATGTGAAATAAAGCAGGATCAGGTGGATTTGTACAACACGTTGTGCTTGGAGAACACCTGGGGCACTTCCTTTCCTAACAGAAATAGCATCTTTGCGGGGGGGGGGCATTTTAACCAGGATCATAGCAAGGGAACAACCATGTTGTATGGGTAGGTGGTCTATGAATAAAAAAAAAGACCACGTGTAAATGAGCAAGGTGTGGGGGGGTGTGTGTAGGGAATGATGAATTTGAATCTGCATTTTAATGGGAAACTACCTAATGTGCACTTCTCAAACCAAGCCATCCTTAAGAATTCACACTTTATTGAATTTTGCAGTGCAGTTCTGCAGCTGTTATGTGTACAAAAATGCATGTGCTCGATCAAGTGTGCATAAAAATGCATACTATTGTGAAAATAGCATGCAAAATTGAACTTAAGACTGGGGGGAAATAAGAAACTGAGAGAAACCAAAATTGATGGATTTGTTCCTTCCCTACTAAAGGGTTGTTTTCCTGGCCCCCTCCCCTCCTAAATTCACGCTTGAAAGAAAACTTCTGTAGCTGATAGAAAGCATTATTCAAGTCTCATTATGGCAGGGGGTACGGTTGTAAGGGAAGAACTGGTGTGGCAGTTCTCTGGTTTGCAGAAGAGCTCACAGGCCCCAAAATGTTGACAACCCTCGGTGTATGTGTTCTTTTATTTATTTATTTAGCAAGCGAAAAGAGGAAAAAGAAGTCTTGCCTGAAACACCTGGAAGTCATGTGTTCCATCCCCTCTCGCTCCCTGCTCCACCCAAGCTATTACCACAGCTTCGGCCTTTCGGAAAATTACATCCTCTTTATAGAGCAGCCCTTCAAACTGGATATACTCAAGATGGCAACAGCCTACATCAGAGGGGTGAACTGGGCCTCTTGCCTCGTGTTCCATAAGGATGACAAGGTATATATATATATACCGTTCCCCAACCCCCTCCTTTCTTGCTGAGTACAGCAGTAGTGAATTTTCTGTAACTGCCTATTAGTTTTATACAGCTCCCTTACTCCATCCAACATATTATTTGTTATTAGCATGGACATTTCTTTTGGAATGCCGCACCTCACATTAAATTGCAGGTGCCAAAGCCCATATTTTCCTGAGAACATGGCTAAGCAACAATTTGCAGGCTGTTTGCTTATGTGAGTTTTCTTGATGGGATGACTCGGAAATCAATAAACCCCTGGAAGTACATTCGCGCAGTCTTGGCTGTCACCTCTGCAGTTTAAGGTGGTCACATCTGCATGTTGTTTAACTAACATTTGGAAGTTTATTTCCTTGCATTGGATTCCATTATTTTATTTTAAAAATTATATATCCAGAGCCGGTAACAACATAAAAAGCCCAACACTGACTAAAACAGCCTTTCCTCACCTGATGTTCTTCAGATGTTTTAGACCACAACTTAGGATGGAGAAGAGATTTGATTCTGTTTGCATTTTAATGGGAAGCCAGCTAATTTGCACTCTGCAAACCAATATATGAACTGAAACACAATTAACCTTCAAAATGCACATATCTATGAATTTTGCAATGCGGTTCTCCAACCCAGTAATGTTTTTTTTAAAAAATGCATATATTTGCAGGAAAGTGTGCAATTTAAAATGCACATTTTCATGAAAATAGCAAAAAAGGCATTATATATTTTCTGAACTGCATTCAAAAATGTGTATATTACCAGAAAAAGCAGATATGCTGATGAGTTTTCATGAGGATTAAAATAAAAATTACAAGCTGCTGAGGACATGCAGAGAAGTGAATTTAAGACTGGAACAATGAGAAGTTGAGTTAAGCTGAAATGGACACTTTCATCCATCCCTAACTGTAGTTCCAGTCAGCCCCAGTCAAGACTTGATGTCATTGGCATTAAAATGTCGGCTTGTATTCCACTCCTCCCGTTAATCTGGCATTATTCTTCATGGGTTAAAACTCTGACTTAGCCATTGAGCTCATTGGATGACCTTGGGCCTGTCACAGTCTGTCAGCCTAGCCTACCCTACAACATGAGGACAGAGCAGGGAGGGGAGAACAATATACGAATCTTCAGCTTCTTGGAGGAAAGATGGAATATAAATGTAATAAATAAATAAAAAACTATTGAGATTTATATGCTGCCTTTCAAACAGCAGAACCAGGTTGGGTTAGAACAGCAGATAACATAAAATAAAATACAATCCATATACAGTTTTTAAAGCAAAGTATCTAAAATGAAAATGCAGAATTATTCAGTCTGATTGAGTAATGTAATTTCCATCTTTATGACAGCAACATTCTTAACCAGAAGTTGTGTTGCCATTTTGTAGACCTGGATCCACCTTATTGACAAAAGGACCAAGAAACCTGTGTCTGCCAAGTTTTACACGGATGCCATGGTCCTCTTTCACCACGTGAATGCTTACGAGGAGGAGGACCATGTGGTTTTCGACATCATCTCCTATAAAGACAATAGCTTGTACCAGATGTTTTATTTAAAAAACCTGGACGGTAACTTTGAAAACAACACCAAACTCAATTCTATACCAACCTGCAAGCGATTTGTGATTCCTCTGCAATATGACAAGGTATCTTTTGGTTCTGATTCACATAGCAATGGTGTACACATCATCTACATGCATAAGAACAGAGAGGGCAAGTTTTGTCAAGGCAATGCAATGCAAACTTACATGTTGCAAAATACAAACTTACATGTTGGATCGTTTGAGTAGGGACATTTCCAGACTATTGCTATTTTGGGATGGGATTCAATCGCATACAGTGAAATTCAGATTGCAAAATCAAAGTTGTTTTGGAGTTCTTGCACAACAAATTCACATTTTACAATAAGCAAAGTGATGGGAAAATGCATCTTTGCTTGACACATCATCTGACCTCTCTGCAAAGAAATCAGGATGAATGCTCAATAAACAGGTTATCTGGATGCAACCTTAGATAACAGTACTCTTCTAGAATGTCATGTTTCCAGAGGAACAGTCTTATATAAAAGTTTCTGGTGCTCCCTGCAATGTCTTCTGCTGCTTACATGGAAACTCGCTATAAGCTGAATTAATGGTAGCACACACACACAAAAATTCTGATGAGGCCTGGGGCACTGCAGAGAGTAGTGACAAACTTCTCCAGCCAGGCCACACCTCTGAATCAGCTATCTAGGAGCTGGGCTCTGCGCCATAGCTATTTCTCTTAAAGGGGCAGCATTCCTGATATAGCTGATAATGCATACATTACGCTTCCTCCCCAAATCATTGGTAGTTAAGACCTGGTAGGGCCAGGCCAACAATTAGTCAGAGTGAGGTGACTATTTCAGGCAGCATATGCTGGGAGGCAGTTGCTGGTCCTCAGTTATTCCTCCCTGACCATACCCTTCTGTTGGAGAAGAGAGCTGTGTGTCATAAAGCTTGCCCTCCACCCCGCTTATCTCCCTCCAGGGCAGAGCAGTGCCCGGTTGCTAGTACTGAAATAGAATTCGCTGCTATATGTGGAATGGGTGCATGTGTGAACCATGCTGTCCTTTGCCTCAGGCAACAAAATTTATTGGGCCGGCCTTGAGATCTGGGCTCTGTGGGTGAATCATTGAGATGGTATGCATTTCCTTCCACAATCTCCAGCTGACCCAGCTTGTTTTCTGGGTCAGCCAAAAGAAAACATTGTCAGAAGCACGTTGCCTTCTGAATGACCTGGGCACAACCCAGGTAAGCCAAATAATGAAATTAATTCATTGCATTATTTACTTGTACTGCGCAATGTGTTTGTATAATTCTGGCAGCCATGTTTTGGCTGATCTATGCGGAAATCACACATATATCCACACACCCATCAGCCCAACTTGGGAGAATATCTTTTCCCCATGCAGTCTCTCTTGCCTGACTTTCTCTCCCACAAAATCCTAACTCCACTCTTTCCCACTCCCTCCTGCCCCAGGTCCCACTTGCCAGGTCTCAACACCATAAGCACCAAACTAGGAACATACTATCCATGACATTCATAGCTACATGAACCGTTTTTTAAAAGTGAACTGCAGGTGCAGGGAGGGGTGGATCAAGAAGGGAAGAGAGCACCCCACCATCCCTGGAACCGGATCCACTGGGGTTAATGAGACATTGACCTTCTAATTTCAGACTACCCTCAGCCAACCCCTATATGCCTGCCTTCTTACTTGTGCACAGTCCACTTCCTAGCAGCTTACTCTGAGGTGCCCCTTGTAGAATTCAGCAGGGAGGAGGATGGGGACAAAACTAGACTTAGTTGGCTCTGCCTTTCATTGGCTCTGGCTCCACCTACTGCTGGCTTCCTTCTCTGTTGATCTACCTGTCCCAATGGGCAACAGTCATCACTGAACATCATTGCATGTTCAGAAGCTGACCGGAATGGTAGTTCAACCTTACTCCAACATTAGCAATGGGACAATGTCCGCCACAGTGCTTAAGGGCAGCAGCCTAGTTGAGAAGGTGCAAAATGTGACCCACATTGCTCCATCTCCCAATGGAGGCAGATGGCTGGAAGAAGGGGCCTCTGGAAGGATAGATGGCGTCTGTTGCCACTCAGCATCCACCACCTGAGGCAGCTGCCTTGCCCTGTTTAACAGGGCCGGTCCATTGTGCCACATTTTCTTTCAATGTCACATCCATACCATACATTTAAAGCACATTATTCCTCCCCCCAATCCTGGCAACTGTAGTTTGTTAAAAATGCTGGAAATTGTAGCTACATGAGGGGTAGACTACAGTTCTCAGGTTTCTTTGGGGGAAGCCATGTGCTTTCAATGTTATAGTATGGATGTGACCCTTCTCTACTTTGCTTGAGAATTACATTTTCTGAGAGGTCACCCGGCTGCATTGCACACCGCAACTAAATACACCAGAAAACAGATTTATTTTTAAAAACATGAGTTTAAGTGAATGCAATGTGAGGTATGTTCATGAAAAAACTGTCCATTATTTCTAAATTGTTTATTAGATCCCATTTGTATAAGAATTAGGAGAGGGAATAAGATCACATTTTGATTAATTCTAAGGTAACTTGAAATGTATTTCTTCATGTTTCTGAAGAGTGGGGAGTGGGGCACCGGCATGGGAGTGGCTTGTGCATAACAAATGCACATGTGTCTGTTTAGCTGCATGTATATGTGCTGGGGACCCTCAGTGGGCTGTGGCAGCCAAGGGCAGCTGCAACATCTATTACATGTGCCTGTGCATCTGAATAGCAAAGTAAATACCGATGGTGTAATACTACATAGCGTTTATTATAGTACTTGAGGGAGTGCAAAACACTTCACCAAAATTTATCAGCATTTATTATCGCCAGGATCAAACTGCATGTTGCGTGGCGGTTGCAAGACCGGAATGCCCTGCAATTTTCTGTTTCTTTGTTTCTTAAAAAGTATCTGGAGGCAGGGGTTAATTGGATTGAGGTGGGAGTAGAGAAGTCTAACCCTTTGCCTCTGAGCTGGTTTCCTGTATTAAATCCCCTCCCACTGAAGCTGTACACAAACGTGTACGTTTTCCTCTATGTAGCTAGTACCAATTTCATCAGAACATAGGAAGCTGTCCTATTCAGTATAAATCAGGCCATTGAACCATCTAGCTCAGTTCTGTCTACATTGGCTGACAGTATCTCTCCAGGATTTCAGATGGGAGACATTCTCAGCCTACCAGGAGATGTCAAGGATTGAACCTGGGACCTTCTGCATACAAAGCTGACACCTTACTCCTGAGCTACAGCACTTCCTCTTTTAAGCAAGAGGAGGAGTCAGATTAGGGCCGAAGTCGGAGAACAAAGATTTAGACCAGGAGTGGCAAACCTGTAGTCCTCAGGCCACACCCAGGCCCCTGCAAGTTATTTTGTGGGGCTCCCAAGACCCAATTGCAGAGCTCCGAAATACTATGTAACATAGCTTTCAAAACACCCCTGTAAGGTCAACCAGCATTATTATCAAATTGTAGGTGGAGAGATATAAGAGATGATGGTGCAGTTTGGTAATTTTAGACTCAGGGTTTAATGGCCCTATTACGACCCCACTTTAGATGTTGATACAGCATCTGCCTTGCACACAGAAAGGTTCAGGTCAACCCCAAGAATCTTCAGGCAGTGTTAGGAATGTCCCCTTTCTGAGGCACTGCCAGTTTAGATGTCTAGATGGGCCTGACATCATATAAGACAGCTTTCTATGTTTCTATTCTGCTTTCTTTAAAATGTACGAAGCCACCCAAGCTGGGTTTTGAGACCCTCGTGCTCTTTCTACTGAGTGGAGCCCTGGATTTCTCCCCACCCCCCACCCCAGTGGCACCACTTGAGGTCACTGAGTGAGTTCACAGCTGCAGTGAGGTTTGCCCTGGGGACTTCCCAGTTCACAGTCTTAACTGCCAGCTCTCATGGTGACATAAACATGATTTCCAACAGGGAAGTGGTACCTGTGTCAAGAATCCCATCACATTTGAAGCAGTCCTGAAACTGCCTTGTCTTTATTACATTGTTGTTTTGTAGGGATAACTCATTCTGCCCATCAACCTGTCTGACAAGTTTTGGCCTGCCACACTGTGGAATGGCTGAGACAGTGTTCCTTGCTACGCCTTTGAAACAGGGTTATACTAATGCTATGAAAACACAGCTCTGTACTAATAACTGAGATTGCATCAGTTGTTGCCCTTGATATTTTTCTTCCTTCCTGATCTGTAAAGAATGAAAGGCAGGGGGCGGGGGGGGGTTGGCCAAAGTGAACTGTTTTTAGTATTTTCCCTTAAAAATCTGCATAGCAAATCTTAATGCCTTCAAATCTTTTATACAATGGCGAGTGGATCTTGCAGCACAGTCTTGATGTATTATCATCTCTCAATAAGTATGCTCTTGTTCAGAGTGCTGTCTAGCCAGCCAGGGCCTGCCCTCCAGCAAGCCATTCCATCTCCATCCCAGACCCAATTTCATCATCATTACTATTATTTATTTATTATTATTATTATTATTATGTCACTTATCTTGCCTAGGACAACCCAAAGCAACTTACAACCAACCAGACAATAAACCCCACATAGGTACATTAAAACCAAAAAGGAAAGAGAAATACATTAAAAACATCCCACCCACTTAAATAGTTAAAGGCCAAAGGTCTGTTTATAGAGGAAAGGTTTTGCCTGGCACCTAAAGATGTATAATAATGGTGCCAGACAAGCCTCCCTGGGGAGAGCATTCCACAAATGGGGAGCCACTGCAGAAAAGGCCCTTTCTTGTGTTGCCACTCTCTTGGGGAGGGGGCACATGAAGAAGGGCTTCAGATGATGAGTGTAGGGTTCAGGTCAGTTTATATTCTCTTTTTCAGGTGACACTCAGCATTCCATGGTTACTGTGCATGCTCAGTCCTCTTTGGGTTTACTAAAAAATAACCCATCTCTGTGTTTGAAATTGGCCTCGTTGCAGCGAAGTTGCTTCTCATCCCAATTCATAATTTTGTGAGCTGTTTTATACTATGAAATACATCCTAGTGCAAATTTTACAAGCTTCCTTGGTTCCTCTGTATTCATTTGGCACTGGAAATGCACCCTTTGCACTATGTCTTTCTTTCAGGAGGCAGACGTAGGCTCGAATTTGGTCCAGCTCCCATCCACCACTGCAACTGCAGTGAAGGAAAAAGATGGAAGCATCTACTGTCAGCCTGAATTACTATATGAAGGTGAGGGGCCATTGTTTAGGCAGTGGGGAGGGAGACACATTGCATCTTCTAAGTCTCATAATTTCTATTAAGGGATGTATAATATATGACTGCGCTTGAAAATATTCCACCACCTTCCTTGTGAAATGCCCATTGAAATGATTAGCGTCCTTATAGGACAGGGCTAGCTAACGTGGTGCCCTTCCATTAGTTCCAGCCAGCATGGCCAAATGCCATGGAAAATAGCTTTTGGAGTCCAACAACATTTTGAGGATGCCATGTTGATACCCATGCTCTAGGAACTTGACTCCAGACATGACCAGCTCCCAGAGGGATTACACAGGAAGACAGTCTTACTGTATTCAGTACTATAGTCTCTTTAAATATATTTACCCGTATATCAGCAGTGATTCTGTTTTCCTCTTGTTGTTTATGAGTACAAATTGTTCTACTTCCCTTGCAGGAATAGAGCTGCCTCGCATCAATTATGACTACAATGGCAAAAAGTACAGATATATCTATGCCACAGAGGTTAAATGGAGTCCAGTTCCCACACAGGTATGCTGTCTAAAAGCACACTTCCTCTTATAACATGTCATTGTGCAATGCCAATAAACATTAGACTTTATTACAGTGGTACCTCAGGTTAAGTACTTAATTCGTTCCGGAGGTCCGTTCTTAACCTGAAACTGTTCTTAACCTGAAGCACCACTTTAGCTAATGGGGCCTCCTGCTGCTGCCGCGCCGCCGGAGCCCAATTTCTGTTCTTATCCTGAAGCAAAGTTCTTAACCTGAAGCACTATTTCTGGGTTAGCGGAGTGTGTAACCAGAAGCATATGTAACCTGAGGTACCACTGTATTTAAACAAGATTTGTTTAAAGCCAAGGCTACCTTTCCTCTGACCTACAACTTCGCAAGATACTCCAATTGCCATTTGCAGGCCAGGGAGCTAAGTACAAGCAGGGCTGTGTTTGAAATAAGCTGCCTAAGGAGGAGGTGACATCTCCTTCCTTTCCGGTACTCCACAGAAGCGCTTTTGATTCAAGGTGGGGAACCTGTGGCCCTTCAGATTTTGGAGTCCAGCTCCCATCAGCCCCAGAAAGCATGGTCATTGGTCAGGGATGATGAGAGCTGTAGTCCAACAACATCTGGAAGGCCACAGGTCCCCCACCCTTGCTTTAGATGCTTCACTGAATCACGTCCGTTTCTATTGTCCGTGGCCTATTTTCTTTCTCTTATAATTGATGATGCCACCTAACACAATTATATGCATAGATCACAGCTTTAGCAACAGCCAAAGGGCCCTGAATTAAATTTGCTTGACATGCATGTTTTGTTAACCCTTAATTAAGGCCGTTGCTTCTTCCTGAGTTAAGGTCAAGGAGGACAATAGGGTGAAAACAGAGCTGAGAAGAAACTTCCTTTCATAGCTGTCAACTTACAGATTTGAAAATAAGGGACCAGCAGCCAAAATAAGGGACCTGCAGCCTCACCTGTTCCAGGCACTCCAGTCTTCCTGTCCTCCTGCAGTCTGGTCAAACTCATGCTGGTAGCTTCGAGAACACTGTCCAACCAACTTTGTTAACCAGAGGTTCAACTGAATAGAATCTGAATCACATGCACCACAAGGCCTATCCAGCCTCAGCTTAAGATGGCTCCCTGGCTTGGCTTTGCACTGCAAAGTTTGCAGCAGCACGTGCAACAAAATGGCGTCCAGCATTCAAAAAACCCCTCAGCTTGCATTAACTAGCCACACACAAGGCATGCAAGCTCCACCCCCCAGTCGTTCTTAGACTTCTTATTGGGTGAGCAACACAGCCAAGCAACACAGTTGGAGTCTCCCTCCTCTCTGGCCGGCAGGGGGGGAGGGAGAGGAGCTGCTTCCTTTGAAATTTAAGGGACATCATTTAAGGGACATTTAAGGGACCCATCAATAAGGGACAGTAGCAGGACATGGCGCTGGAATAAGGGACTGTCCCTTCAAATAAGGGACACTTGACAGCTATGCTTCCTTTTTCAGCAGCAAATCTGACCCAGAGTTCAAAGGTTTTCCAAGTTATTTTGGCAACTCTGGAAAGTTGCATGAAATGTGACTTTCATTCCATAATTATTGATCAAGCCAGAGATACGGAAGTGGGACCATGAAGTAATATCCATATGTCAGGACCATATCCTGTATTCTAGACTCCATCTTAGCATTGCCATATTTCAAAAAGTACGAACCAGGACGCCCCCAAAATTGTTGAGCTTTTTTAGACAAACCCCAAAGTTGTTGAGCTTTTTTTTTTTTAAATGCAATTTTTCAATTGACTTGCCTAAGATCCAGGACAAAGTTCTGCCTTTCGGAAATTCCTCCCAAACATCAGTTCTGCCTTTGAAATCCCAGTAATGTCCGGGAAAATCCAGATATATGGCAGCCGTACTCTGTCTACATATAATATCTAGGGATGGGCAAATTTGTCAATTTCCATTTCTCTCAGTTTCCCATTTTTCCAATCTTAAATTCAGTTCCCCACATTTACAACTCAATTTTCAATTGTGAGTGTATTTTTAAAGTCCTCATGAAAATTCATCAGCATTTTAGTTCAAATTTTGTCTAATTGACACGTTATATGCAATTTTGCCTTAATAAAAATAATACACACATTTTGGGGAAGCAGTTTCCCCAAATATAATGCATTTTTGTATGTAATATATGCAATTTCATGCACACTTTACCCCAGTATGTGCATTTTTGTACATATTACTTGGCTTGAGAACTGCACTGCAAAATTCAGAAAAGTACAAACTTTGAAGAATGCTTATGTTTCAGTTCATGCATTGCTTCAGGAAGTGCAAATTAGGTAGGTTCACTTTTGAATGTGAATCTGAATCAATCGCAATATTTCTACACATAATAATAATAATAATAATAATAATAATTAATGGGGATGTTGGACAGAAAAGTTAAATGAGTATGTTGTTTGATTTTTTGTTACAATCGTAATTTTAATCTCACCTTTCAGGATATAAATCTTTCCAAGGTGACTCACAATGAAATATTAAAACAATAATAAATATATTTAAAGAAACTATATGATTTTATTTACTACTTGTATATACCCCATTTCTGCTCAGGGTGGGTCACAGTTTAAAATCATGACTTATAATCTAATAAACACAATATAAATAAAAATGGGGAAAAGAAAGAGCAAAATACATGAGCTGGGAGGGGAGGAACAAAATGGTAGTAGCTTCCAGCCAGGCCAACTCATAAGTCGTTGCTGTCTCGCGTCTCCCTCAGATGTCCCTGGACACGTTGAAGGGGATGAGGATTTGCTGCAGCACCCCTCCCTCTGAGTCAGGCAGTTGGAATGGGGATTAATTTTATTTTGGGGAGGCATGCAAATCTAAATCAGGAAAATATTTGAAGAATTCTATCATAAGAATGCATTTCCCCTCTTCTTTGTTCACCTAGGTAGTTAAAGTTGACACTCTGACGAAGACGGCACTTCACTGGGAGGAAGAACATTGCTGGCCAGCTGAACCAATCTTTGTTCCTAGTCCTAATGCCAAAGAGGAAGATGATGGTAAATCACATCATGGTTCTAATGAGGGAAAGTGTGAAGATTTGCGAAAGTTAAGACCCATTTTAAAGGGAATGGGATTTCATTAGTCGCAAAAAACAATATTTTTATTTAAAGTCTTTCTCTTTCACAAATAGAACAGGCTTTAAGAAGCTGCTTTTACCAAGAATGGAGGCAAACAGTTTTTTAAAAGGGATTTGAAGGTAGCATAATACAGGCCTTGTTTACCTTACTGTGATGTAGATGCTCATTTATTATCCTGCTGCTGTCTCTGGTCAAACAAGTTTGGGAGGCTTTGGGAGTATTACAGAAACCTGCAAAACCAGTGACTAGACAGCCAGCTTTCTCTCTCCCTTTCTATCGCTCTGGTTTTGTTGTGGGAGAAGAAACTGCTCAAATTCTGCTGGAATCACAAATGCATACATACATCATTTTATCGGTATGCTGCCTTTTTATAGTTAAGACCATGCTCAAGGCAGCTTACAACATTTAAAAAAATATTACAAATATAACAAAGGTAAAGTAAAGGTAAAGGGAACCCTGACCATTAGGTCCAGTCATGACCGACTCTGGGGTTGCGGCGCTCATCTCGCGTTGTTGGCCGAGGGACCCGGCGTACAGCTTCCGGGTCATGTGGCCAACCTGACTAAGCCGCTTCTGGCGAATCAGAGCAGCGCATGGAAACGCCATTTACCTTCCTGCCGGAGCGGTACCTATTTATTTACTTGCGCTTTGACATGCTTTCAAACTGCTAGGTTGGCAGGAGCAGGGACCAAGCAACGGGAGCTCACCCCGTTGCGGGGATTCGAACCACCGACCTTTTGATCGGCAAGTCCTAGGCTCTGTGGTTTAACCCACAGCACCACCCGTGTCCCTATAACAAAGGTAGTCATAAACAATAAATAAAACACATCAAAAAGTACACAACCAAACTGAAATAATTTCCACATAAATCCTAAGATCTAAAAATAAAGCTACTAAAAAAAAATAATCAATAACAGCAACAACCCCCTGCCAAACAAGAAACCACTAAACACAACCCCAACTCAAGAGCCAGTCAGATTTATTTGTTAAAATATGTTGGTCATCGTGCCAAAAGTACAAACTGTATGAAGGTTTAGTGCAGATAGGACCTGGTATTCAGAGACATGTTGCCTCAGATCCTGGAAGCAGTATATAACCAACATGATGAGTAGCCACCAACTCTTAGGTGCAGGAGAGGAAATCTTCCAATCTTGCAAGTTAGTGAGTGTCCAGAATCTCAGGCAGATGGATTTACCTGATATTCTTTCAAAATGGAAGTGTTGAATTTATGAGCAGTTACTAAGGTACTGGAGTAGGTACTAAGATACCTACTCCAAATGGAGAACTGGATTTTTAATGACTAGATTGGCACATGTCATCCTTCCATAATAGCCCCTAAACCTTGTTTGTATCACCAGTAGAAATTTCTCGACAATGCAACTCACTTATCCACTGACAATGCACAACTCAGAACAAAGCAAAGCTACATTTCGCCTTGACAGGCACAGAGGCGTGTACAATGGATCTTTCATGCAGCCTATTGGAATGGCTTATCATCAAAGGGCCTCGTCTTAAACTGTGTAATAGTCCTGGAGATTAAGGCTGTTTTGTCTAAGCTAAACAGCAGAGTCAGCAAACACAATAGCAGTTGTTTCATCACACTCTGCCAGTTCTGTTTTGGAAGAACTGCAGATAGGAGCAAGACATAGATATATGCTATAAGTAACTAAGGCTGTTAACTAGTTGAATATATTTTAATTGACAATATCTGCCTTTTAATTATATATTCATTTAACTGATTACATGTAAATATTTGAAAACCAACAAAACCTCAACATAGGAGCTTTGGAGATGTTTAATAAACAAAAGTTCCTGCTCAAGATTATAAGGAAAAGTCATAGTTAATAGTTTCTCTACTTATTTCAGTAACTTCAGTTTTCAAGCAAAATACTGCAGGTGATCCTTGGAAGCTTATCAGGGTGAACAGTCCCTGGAATGTGCTGGAATGTGCAAGGGGTTCTTTGCCAGACAAAGTGCCCCTGAAGCTAGAGAGTTTGAAAACCACTACAGTAACTAATAATAATAATAATAATAATAATAATAATGTGTGCCATTAACTTTGCATGGGTTCAAATCTCCTAAGTAATATTATAAAGTATTATTATTATTATTATTATTATTATTATTATTAATAATAATAATTCAATTTCTTTCCTACCCTTCACAATAATGTCCCAGGATGCAACTCTTTGGATTTAAACTTTGCAGGCTTGTCGATGACTCACTTAGTCCATGGCATGTTGGCTAATGTAGTCTGAAAACAAGTCTCTATAATCTGGGCTACATTCCTGCTTAAGTGAGTGCTCAGCATTTGCACACATGTTGAGAAACCATTCCAAGAAGCTGCATGGAACCATTATATACTTGCGGTAATGCTGACTTAATTGGGAATCTTGACATCCACACATTGCGGCTTTTGACACATGTCACTTTCCTTTGTCAACTGTCCCCATTGCATTTATTTATCACGTGTGCCCTGCACATCTTTCAAGAAGCTCAGGGTGATGTATTTGGCTTTCTCCCATTTTATCAACATAATAACAGCTCTGTGATATGTTAGGCTAAGGGACAACAATAATGATACATAGGATTTAATTTTTAAAATCTTTTTAGTTTATATCAACACAACAAACACAGCTATAACAGAAAAAGAAGCTGCCTTACACCCCTTTCCCATCTCCCTCAGGGCTGTCTACTGTGACTGGCAGCAGATCTCCAGAGTCTTAGGAAAAGAGGGGTCTTCCCAGTCACCTGCTCTCTTTTTATGATAGCCAGTGTGGTATAGTGGTTAAGAGCGGTAGATTCGTAATCTGGGGAACTGGGTTTGCGTCTCCGTTCCTCCGCATGCAGCTGCTGGGTGACCTTGGGCCAGTCACACTTCTCTGAAGTCTCTCAGCCCCACTCACCTCACAGAGTGTTTGTTGTGGGGGAGGAAGGGAAAGGAGAATGTTAGCCGCTTTGAGACTCCTTAAAGGGAGTGAAAGGCGGGATATCAAATCCAAACTCTTTAACTGGAGATACCAGGAGCTGAACATACAGGCTTTTGCATCCAAAGAAGGTGCTCTACCACTCTCCAGTTTCTTTACTTGGGGAGTATGTTTTTATTGTAATTTTATAATACGGAAATCATACAGGCATGCTACATATAAGAAAAACAAACAAGAGAGTACCAGTGAGGAAAACAATGCAGGGCATATAAATCATATCAAAGAAGCATTTGCATTCTCAAGTGTTAACATTACATACTCCATTAAAGTAATCATTCAGATTTTTCCATCAAATAACAGTTAGCTTGTTTCCAGTTAATTCTTTTGCTTTTTAAGCGGCCAGCAGGCTATTTCTTCCATGCAGCAACAGTGCTTTCTTTTTCTTTGCAGTTTAGTGGGAAACTATTAACTCCCTGTGCCAGGGCAAGCTCCAAAAGTTAAGCATAAATTAATATCCATTCCATGCCCCCACTGCCCCATCTTCTAAAAAAAGAAGAAGCCATATTTCAGGAAAATCTGTTTTAGCATAGATTCTGTTGCAACTTTAGGTATCATCTTGTCACCCATCGTAACGTCAGATCCCCAGAAACCACCTTTCCTGCTGATACTGGATGCCAAAACGTTCAAGGAAATGGCTCGGGCCACGGTCAAGACAGATCTGCACCTGGACTTACATGGTCTCTTCATACCTAAGAAAGATTTGAAAGTGGAGCCTGAGGCAGATTTGGACAACGAACACGAATAAAGTAGACTGTTTCCTGCTATAATCCGAACATTAAGTCTTGCTGCACACTGCTGAAAAATTTGCTGTGATACTCCAGTCCTCAGCACATGCACCTGTATATTTACCTGCAATGCTGGACTAATGGCCTGGTTCTTGGCATATGGTGCAAGCTGTCTGCAGTATTTTCTGGGTGCTTTTGCCAAGCTTTGCAAGATGTCTGTGCAATGAACATACGACTTAGCTGCTTGAACAAAGTGTGTTTACAATGTGGTGTGTGCAACATGAATCACACTTTCCAAAGTTTGAAATCTTCAAGGATTGTGCTCAGAACATAATTAGAAGGAAACCCTTGATAATCTGAGTTTGTCAGAAATTCTGGTGTTTAATCGCAATTCACTTGAGATTCATTGTCAGCTGATTACTTTGGTGCTTCATTTGCTAAATTCAATGACCAAGTGAAATGTCAAGTTGAGGTGCTAAAAGATTTCTTGACCTGACATTCTGTATTATTTCAAAAGAAGGCAAGGCTCATCCTCCTTCCTGTGTGGAAAAATGTTTAAATCCAGAATGCTTTTATATTATTTTTAATTATATTGTAATTATATTTAAAGCAAGCCTTTTTCCTTTGAATCCTTCAGATGTACTTATTTTTAGATCTTTTCTTTAGGAACTTCTAATGCAAGTTCAGTGGGCTTACTGTCCTTACTGTCTCATAAGTAAATTATGCTTTGCTATTTCAGCAGAAGTGAGATTGTGCTCATATTTTTTTTTCTGTTTAAGAGAAATATAACCAAGCTAAGACTAAGCACCGTATCCAAAGAACCTAACAATTAGTAGTGACAAAAGTAATTTTACATGCCGCAGACAGAAATACTTCTCTCATATGGTATTTCCTAACGTATATTAAGCAAAATATTGTAATAAATTAAAGATAACTTTAGCTAAAGATACTGTTCTGAAGCCAAGGGCAAAAGAAACCAGAATATGATTTGACTTCAACTTTAAATATGTCTGATTTTAAAAAGGTCCTAATAGGTAAGTATTGCCACAAATGCTTAACAAACAGCACCTGTCATTTTGCGAGCTGCAAAATACTCATGCAGAAGTCTTACTTCTGAATACATATAAAGAGCATTGCACTATTAATCTCAGATTTCCCCTCCACCCCCAACTGTACCCCACCCCCTGGCATGTCTTTTGTTATTATTTTCAAATATCCAAACATAAATAACATTTTCCTAGTTGTTCTGCAACAAACCCAGTTCAACCACTGCCTTTTCATTTAAAGCACATTTAACTCTGCACCTCTTAAAGAAAATGAGCTGCTGGGAAAACTAGCTACCCATTCTGTAAAAGGGTGTGTTTTATAGCTGTCAACATTTCCCTTTTTAAAAAGGAAATTCCCTTATTCCAAATAGGATTCCTCGCAAGAAAAGGAAAACGTCGACAGCTATGGTGTGTTGTTCTGTGGGCTTTATTTATTTACTTCATGAAATTTATACACTCTGAAAACCCTCAAAGCAGTTTACAAAAGAGAGAGAGAGAGAGAAATCCACAACAAACATACAAAAGTTAAAATACTAAAACACATTAAAATTACCTCGACTTTCTAAGCATCTGGATAGGCTTGTTTTAGCAGGTTTCTAAAAGAGTACAGTGAAAACGCCTACTTGATCTCGATAGGCAGGGAGAACGCTAAACAATCAAGTTCTTGCAAAGGCGGAATAGGTATTATGTGGCATCTGTAGTAGTGCCAATTTCACTGACTGAAGTGGTCAAGTGGGCACATGTGGGATAAGCCAATCTCATTGGTAAACTGGTCCCAAGTTGTTAAGGGCTTTATATGCTAATAGTGGCACCTGGAACTTGGCATAATAGCAAATCAATAGCCAATGAAGATCTCTGAGCACAAATGTTAAGGGCTGACAAGGCCTCTTTGTTCCAGCTCTCCTCACAGCTCAATCCAACGCATGTTTACTTGGAAGTAAATTTCACCGTAATCAATGTACTTGGTCCTTCAAAAGGATGCATTCTTAAGCACTATGCAAGATCCAGCCCTTTAGAATAGCATTCTGCCACCATAGCAGTTGACTTGTCTGCGATCCTTTGAAATTATGGACATTAATTCAATAACTCACTGCCCATTTCTCTATAGCAAGAAAAGTGATAGCCAACTTGGAAGCTTGGAAAACAGCAGAGGGACACATAGCCCTCACTTCTTCCTGTTCTCATTTGAAAGCCACCATTTTGTGGCAGGGTCATTGCCATTCTTATATTTTGACCCTCTCCTTCCTCCAGGTTAGGAGCTAGCGAGACCCCAGTCTGAAATCCTGGAGAGCCACAGCTACTCAATGTAGAAAGTACTGAGTGTATCTGGCAGTTTCCTATGTTCCAAAACAGCCTCTGGAAGGCAGATAAGGCTCCTCCTGCTGTTATTAAATCTTCATTCTCCCAGTACTGCTGCATACACAAAAATGCATACAGTTGCAATTTAAACCAGCTTTCCTCAACATGGCACTCACCAGGTGTTTTGGACTACGGCTTCTAAATCAATCCATAGGAGTAGCATGCCAATATTTTTTTTATAAAAGCACATTGCCTGTATGAATCCTCATGATGGAAAGGAGGGTGATTCAGATACTGTATTCTAACTGGGTGGCCATTCATGGACAGAAATCAAACCTAATTCTGTCTTAACAAGGAACTTGGCATGGTGCAAGGAGATTGCAGCCCAGGTGCCATTGCATTATTCTGTCTCATGCTAGCTTAACTTTCACTTTGGCTCCACCTAGAATTTGATGTCTTTGGAGCTGAAGAATGTTTCAAACCAGAGGTAATTTGGGAAATCACCATAATGTATATAAACACAGTAAGCTGTCAGACACATTCAAATTAAGTTAAATATCACACAGTTCATGCTTCATTTGTTCCAATTAACTCCAGGGGGCATGGTATATTTACTGAGGGAATTTCTGATGGGAAGCTAAAATCCCAAGTATATTCAATAGAAACCAACATGTTTATTTTAGATTGTTAGCAACTGAGTACAGTTTGCATAATCCTTCAATGCTTTTTTAAAAAATTAAAATTGCACGTGACAAAGGAAAAGGTCTGTGCAAGTGTTCCCCTGACCTACAGAGTCCCAGTTTCAATGCTCAGCCTTAACAATTGTTAAGCTTGTGGTAGCATCATAGTTTGAGCTTGTTTGACTTGGGTCTCTTTTTCTCAGAATAAGTTGTCAAGATTTACAATTCCTGATGGAGTATGACTAAAATGAGTATGACTTTTTTAAAAATGCAGATAATTATGTCAGTTCATTTGGTAAAAATGAATATATCGATATTGCAGCATAATTTTGTTATGATGGCCAATGGTCAGGGAGACATGAAGTAGTCTGCAAGCTTGTGTGTTTTGATAAGTGACAAAACAAATTTGGAAGGGAGGAAAGTTTGGAGAGAGAAAAGATGTTGTCGAGCGTGATTTTTAAAAATAAAACAAAAACAGTCTACTGTCACAGCCACACCATACATTTAAAGAACCCTGGGGAACTCACAAAGCTATGATTTCCAGCACCCTTAACGCAATATAGTTCCCAACATTCTTTGAGGGAACCCATGTGCTTTAAATGTGTGTTGAATGTGCTTTAAATGTTTTGGTTGTGACCAAAGATGGAATAGAGGAGTTATTATGCAGATCAGGGCTGGTTCTGGATTTGAGGGTAGCCTTCCTATTAATATGGGAAGAAAGCCAAATATGAAGGGTCATGATGACAGAACTATATAAAATTAAGCATCGTGGACTATGGAGGAAGTGGATAGAGCATGCCTCCACAGGGCATTTTATAGTGGAGTTTGCGTTGCTCACACAGGTAGCTTTTTTGCAGTAACCACAATACATTGTCTTTCTCAAAATGCCATCCCATCCTTCCTCCCCAATTAATTCTGGATTTACCATTTCCCTGTGAGTGTTTTGTTTTGACTTACTGCATTTTATGTGTCTATGGTAAATCTGGATTAAGTGGGGAAAGCATATGGGATGGCATTTTGCTGAGGATCACTTCATGTGGATGCTGTGTAAAACTTTCATGCATGAGAATCACCGAATCCACAATAAGCCGCTGTGTGGAAGCACTCAGATAGCTATCATATGTTGCTCCCTCTGTCATCATACTAGAAGCTGAATGGTGGTAGATGCAGGTCTGGCAAAGGGAAATACTTTCACCATGCAGGGTTAGTTAAACTACAAACTATGCTTCCACGAGATGTAGTGATGGCTACCAACCTAATGACTTTAAAAGGGAATTAGCAATATTCATGGAGGATAGATAAGGCTAAAAACTGCTGCGACATCATGTGTACAGCACCCCAAAAAGCTCATGAGCTTCTAATCAGCATCTGGTTGATCAGAATGAAAACTAGATTATGGTCTAGATAGACTTTTGCTCTGGTCCAGCAGGGCTCTTACTATCCCATTCTTCTTCCTCCCTAAGAAGCCCAATGGGCAAATAGCAAATAGTAAAAACAATGCAATTAAGATAAAACATGTTGTGAACAATTAAATACAATTAAGAACATCTAAAACATGTTAAAATAGCCACATACAACTAATAATTTCAAGGTTGGTGAGAACAGTAAGTTGTAGCCAATACTACTTCTGCTCTGAGTAGTTCCATTGTAATTAATGGCCATGACTAATTTAGGTCTATTAATTTGCTATGAGTAAAACTTAGTTGGATACAACCCACTATCTTTTCAACCATCAAATTCCTGGGTAATCAGGAAATGTTTTTAATTTCCTCCTGAATGTTAATAATGTCTTATTTTGTTCTTAATAATGAGAGTTAGCTTTTAATTGGTAAAACTGGATACATAGGGCACTTCCAGACATGCTATTAAATTAGCTATTAAAGCTAATTTGGAGCTCTAACGCAACACACCTGAAAGATCCTGAAAGATCCAATTTTTGCACTACGTAAAGTGATGGGGGAAATGCACAGGAAAATGTGGGATAATACTTGCTTGATGCAACATTGTCTAACTTCCTCCAAACAAATCAGAATGAATGCTAATTAAATAGCCGGTGTCATCTAAGTCACCTGCGGTCAAATAAAGATAATGCTCAATAAACAGGTTGCCTGGAAGTTCTATGCTTTGGAAAAGGAAACTGAACCAAAGAGGGATGGATGACATTACCCCACATCATCCTCACTGAGTTAATGGTTAAGTAGGGCTTTGAATTCAAGTTACCCAGATCTGACTATTAACATACACCCATAGGATGTGCTGGATCTTACAGGCCTTTGGGGCTTTCTACTTGAAGGGGTTTGTGCAACTTGAAAGCCTGCTACTCTAATCAACAGGTTCAATGCAAGTGTGAGGAGTTGGGCTCAGCCGACCATGGCCATGAAGCTGTGCCATTGCAGGTACTACTAGAAATCAACACTGATGGGCCAAAAGTGGTGTTCTATGGCAGATGGCTGAAGGGACGCGGGTGGTGCTGTGGGTTAAACCACAGAGCCTAGGGCTTGCCGACTAGAAGGTCGGCGGTTCGAATCCCCGCAACGGGGTGAGCTCCCGTTGCTCGGTCCCTGCTCCTGCCAACCTAGCAGTTCGAAAGCACGTCAAAGTGCAAGTAGATAAATAGGTACCGCTCCGGCAGGAAGGTAAACGGCATTTCCTTGCACTGCTCTGGTTCGTCAGAAGCGGCTTAGTCCTGCTGGCCACATGACCCGGAAGCTGTACACCAGCTCCTTCGGCCAATAAAGCGAGATGAGCACCGCAACCCCAGAGTCGTCTGCGATTGGAACTAATGGTCAGGGATCCCTTTACCTTTTATGGCAGATGGCTACCTGATGTCAGGTGCAGACCTTGGGAATATGCCACCCTGTGCAAGGCCATTTGACGCACTCACAGTACCTGCTTAAGCTGGGCTTTGGGAAGGAGGTATGAGGCTCTGGCAGGGTCCTAGAACCCACCTATCTCCTTCCCAAAGCCCAGTAAGAACTTGCCTGGCTTTGGGAAGGTAGAAGGAGCAGTCTAGGACCCTGTCAGGGCCCACATGCCTCCTTCCTGAAACCAGGCAACCACTGACCAGGCTTTGAGAAGGTGCCCTTCTTGGTTGCATGCCCGGTGCGCAACCGCTTGCACTGCCCTAAGTCCACTCCTGCTCTTAACCTCTCCTCTCCCTGGCTACATAAAGAGCTGGGACAGCAGGTAAGGCAGTCCTGAAGCAATTTCACAGAAAAAGCAGAGGATAGGTAGGGTAATAAGATCAAGAAATTGGAAAATCCAGGTTGAAGGCACTCGGTGGAAAGCCAGTTTTGGCGCAACAGCAGTGTTTTACTCTCTTATATCACAGTCAGAGCCCTACATCCAGCCTTGCCTCAGATCAGTGATTGCATCATAACACAAGGTCACATCCATACATACCAGAAAATAATGGGAACTGTAGTTTACCCCTTACAGAACTACAATTCCCAGCATCCTTAACACACTATAGTTCCCTCAACATTCTTTGGGGGAAGTCATGTCCTTTCAGTGTATGATGTGACCTACGTCCATAAATCACTTTGCGATGTAAACAGTCTTGAGTCCAATAACATCCCTTTGTACTGAAAGCTTTTGTCAGACAAACTTGCTTTGGGTCTGTTTTAGAGCCTTGATTCCATTGCCACTGAAGTAAATGGCCAGATCTTTGTCTTCAGGGATGCAGGGTCAGAACATAAAGCTCAGCATACAATTAGGGCTCTTGAAATCAATACAAGCACTTAAGGAGTTGCACCATACACCAATATCCTGGAAGAAATCTCAGGCAGAGGATTAAAATCAGGGTGAAGCTGAAAACATACCGTCACTTGCAGGCAGGCAATATAAAAGGGTGTGTATGTTTTTGTGGAGCAGGGAAAGGCTAGTCAGGAGAACTTGCTTAACACCAAACCTATGCCACTGCAGTGACTATCCTAAAGTTAGATCAGGTGATCTTGACATTAATTTGCATGAATAAAACAGGACGAATCTGTTTCCCCTCTGACCCAAATGTTGCAGTGCAAGCTACTTCACATGATGTTTTTCCCGCACAGGGGTCATTAAAAAACTCACACGTGCCCTACCAACTCCATCCTTGCATTTAAAGTGTAATGCTGAGGTTTATTATGGACAGTGGCTTCCTCGCCTTCTTCCTGTTCCTCGGCTGTCAAATAGCCTACAGCAGTAGGCTATTACAGAGCGAGAGAAGGAAAGCAGAGCCACTCCATCAGATCTACTGAGAGCCTTTGGGCTCATCCACACTTCCTTTGGGGCCGAATTTCTAAGCACATGTCCAGGCTTTCCAGATTCAGGTTTGATCAGTGGGGTTTTTTGTTTTGTTTTGTCCTGGCACTTTCCCCAGGAAAACTTGAGTTTTACCGCTGAATCGGAGCAAATGGCGATAGGGTTTTTCTGCAGATTGCCATTTGCTCTGATTCTGCTGTAAAATGCTGGTTTCCCAAGAGAAAGTGACGGGCGGGGGGGGTAAAGGGGACAGACAAACCCTGCTCAAACACGGACCTGGAAAACCTGGACCTGTGCCTAGAAAGTATGTAGGAAAGGTTAGTGCAGACAAGCTTTTTTCCTCAGTGGTCACTTAGCAATAGCCGCTCCATCAGGCTATAGCAGAATGAGATAAGAGAAAATAATCAAGGCCATTCCATCAGTTCTACTGAGAGACACTTCTCTCAGCTATATCCATCTCAGCTGGTCAACCTGCTATCTAAATTTTGGAGAAAATCTGGAAAAGTGCAAATTTGGAAGGATAGCTGTGTTTTGGTTTAAGTAGTTTTGGAAAGTGAGAATTAGACAGATTAACCTACATAACTGTAAACTGAATCAAATTTCTCCCCCATCCCTACCTTCAGACCTCACCCTTCTTTTCTCCTGGAGGGAGGGATGAAGGGAGAGAGCCAGCTGGAAGAGGATGGCTGGGCCATTTCCTGTTTTGTTTTCAGCAGGCTTCTTTCCCATTTTTTGCATCTAGGTTTGTTCTTCCTTGATCCGTCTGTTACATCACCTGCTTTCCTTATTGACCTAGATAGGTGACTTGAGAAGCCAAGTCATTGTTTACAAGTTGAAGGGAAAACCAAAAACACAGTTCTGCTTCCTTACATCATAATCATTAACAGGTGACAGCAGAAACAAATTACCGTACTTCTCTTGAAATAATTAAGACAAGGTCACCCAAATTATTGGCTTTCACATTACATGCAGTCAAAGCACAACACCCTTGGTTAGGAAATTTCCAAAGCAGCTGTATTAATGGAGAAACACACGGACCTTCTTACAGGTGAAGTTCCTTGAGAGTCCTCAGCTTTGGGAGTTTATTGAGCACGAGGCTTTGGGTTGTCCCACATTTCTTTCTCTTCCAAGCTGACTGGGACAGATCATATTCAGTACAGCACACCCCATCCCACACCCAAAGGAAATCATTGCATTGTGTGCATGCATGCATATGTAGGGTGTAATTCTGTGTTGTGCTATGCCAAATGTTCTATCTGCTCAAGCATTTCTGCTTGCCTGATGGAATCCTGCCCCCCGTAATCCCTAAATACTGTTCTGGGGGTCTTCCTGACCACCCAGAGCCAATTTTGGGGAAGGACAGGGGGAAAGCCCCATTTCACAAGCCAAAATCTTTGCACAGGGCTCTTTAGGCGAATCCTGCCTGTAATGTCTGCTTCTTGTAATGTTATGGACAGATGCAGAGTACCAAAGTTTGCGCTTTATGGTGGGAACGAGAATACTAAAAGCTGGTCAACTCCAACACACAGCCTCAGAATCAAGGACAGATATGGGGAAATCTCAGGTCTAGGTGGGGGAATCTGTAGGCCTCTCTATCTGGCCTTTGGGACTCACTCAATGTCATACACACTCCCCAGTTACACCCCTCACCAGCCTTGGGTGTTTTTGGTTAGCTGCAAAATGTCCTCTATCTTTGATAATGGCTCTTGCTTGCTTGGATGGAAGACGGGGGAGTGAGTGTGAGTGTGTAGAAACCAGTCTTCCTTACAAAGCTAAATTTACATTAATTATTCTACTCATTTTTGTCACTAACCTCACAAAGGTTTTGTGACCCCCATAAAAGTTTTCCAGAATGAAATGTGGCCCTTGGGCTAAAATATAGTCCCCACCCTGATACAGGATGAGCCTTAGGATTTATTTAATTGTTCTTTTTATTTAAAATATTTTTAGGCTGGTTTTCTGGGCAAATGCCTTTCCAAAGCAGCTTATAAGCAAAATAAAAGATAAAAACGGTACAAAAAGTAAAACTTTAAATCACTCCACATCAACTTCTAGGTGCATTATGGTGATAGCTGCCAGAACTAGCACTAAGAACCTGCAAATTGTTGCAGCACTAAGAACTCTGCATTGTTGCCCATGTGGCAAGGTACAAAGCCTGTGAGTTACAGCATTCCCAGGGTAGCAAATGCTTCCTGGACTTCCAATGCACCCATGCAGGCCATTGGCTTTAGAAATGTAATAAAAGACTTCCTTTTCTGACTTCACCTGGGCAACAACAATATCCCCTGGCTTTTGATGTTTGGGAATGAGCCTGAGGGTGAGGATTGCATCCCTCCTCCTTTATGTGTACAACTTTCAGTATGGGCCTACATGTCCAAATGCAAACACAGGTTTTATTTACATATGTACCACCCTTTCATAAAACATCAGGGCGGTGTACAGAATTGTAAAAACATTTTTAAAACCAATAAAAGCAGCACAAAACAATCATTAAAAAGACTGGCTACTCAAGAAAGTTTAATCTGCTGCATAGGCCTGTCCACATAATAAAAAATCTTAAGAGATGTCTGCCAAATGTCTCTTTGAAGCATGTTCCACAACATGGGATCAGCAATACTAAATTCCCAACTTCTGGTTGGGGCCAGTGTAATAATTGGGTTGTATTCAACTACGTCCCAGGCAGAATGCACCCACTGAAAAGAATAAACTTGTTAATTCATTTCAATGAGTCTACTGTGAAATTACTTGGGCTGCATTCAGACAGCACTTTATTCCATTTTTCCAACATTTACTTACCTGACGATTTCTGCATTTTATCTTATCTTATCTTTCACATGATGCTAAAGTCACATTTGGAAATCTAGTGGGATCTAATGGAATTAGCACTCATTTCTATGTTAAAAAAATCTGTTTGCAGCCCCGTTAACCTGGGACATAGTAGGAGTTTTGTGTGGCAATGTTCACCACCATTCATGTGATGAAATGGAGTGGTTTATGCCACACAATACAGATTTTTATAACTTTAGCATGAAAAATTATTGTCTTACATGACAAGATAAATCATGCATACAAAACATGGATCCAACTCTGAAATAAAGTTGAGCAAATGGATGAAGGCGCTGAAGACACCAGGCACCATTTAATCCAGGTCTGATGTTTACAACAGCATTCTTCCAAAGAATACATGCATAGTCTCAGCATATAACAACACACTCCTATGCACAATTAGAAGTACATCCTATTAAGTTCACTGGGGAATACTTACAAGTAAATATGCATAGGTTTGTGCTGCAAATCTCTGAACATTATTTGTTGCTTAATGCTGTGAGCATGTTGAGAGTGTATCTTCCACTCACTTCACACATCAGGAGTTTGGGCATGGCTGGCTAATCTTACACCCCTTAGAGATTCTGAATATTAAGCAGTATAGAAACACCTACAATAAATAAATAATAGCCTATGGCTCCCCAGATGTTGCTGGGCTCCCATCAATCTCACAAACACGGCCTCAGGGGCAATTGTATTTGTAATTTATATATTTATAATTCATTTGGTTTTTCAAATTACAGTTTTACGATCACATATCCAACATACAAGAGAAAGGCAAGATTCCATAGAATCTCCTGGACTTCCCTCCTCCCCTTTGCGGGTCCTATTGTTAATCATTTCCTCCTGCATCTTTTACAATAACCCAAATCTTCATTTATATTATATCCAAAATCCACCATCAAACTACAAGCGTCTAACCCTACTCACAATTTTAACTGTTTACAGTAGTTTTTAAGCTAAATTAGTCAATTGGGCAATTGTAATTCAGGAACGTTCGGAGGGCCATAGGTTATGGCGCGCGCCCCCATAACCTAAATGAGCAAGCTCAGCGCAAGGCAGATGGAGAGCCGCCTTGGTGCCTCTGAGCATAAGCAGAGCGCCCGCCCTGCTTTGCGCGCGTGCCAGTAAAGAGGATAAAGCGTATGATGTTGTTGTTGTTGCTGCTGTCATCCCGCGTGGTGTTCATGACATATGCCGTCCGTTTCGTCCAGCCTGGAGGGGATAATCGCGGCTGCCCAGTTCCTTCCCCTCCATCCCACCGGAGGCGGCGGCTCCTCCTCTCCGGCAGGCGGAGCCGGGATGGGCCGGCGCGAGGATATGATGTCAAGGCCGGAGCCGGGGCTGGGATGTATGGTGGGGGACCGGCTCGGATGCGAGGAGCCGGAGAGCGGCTGAGGCGAGAGAGAAGACGCGAGGCGCGGAGGCAGCTTCGGCCTGCTGGGCGCGTGAGGAGGAGGAGGAGGAGGAGCGGAGAAAGGCCGCCTTGGCCTGGCGGAGTCAGGCCCCTGAGGAGAGAAGGAAAAGGCGCGAAGGGAGAAGAGGAGGCGGCGGCGGCATCGGCGACCACCACCACCCCTTAACTCCTGCTGCTAAGAATTGGGCTCTGTCCGGTTGGGGACGCCGCGATGTCGAGCGGGGCGGCGGGCAGCGCCGTGTCGGACCCCCAGCACCCGGCCCGGCTCCTGAGGGCGCTGAGCTCCTTCCGCGAGGAGGGCCGCTTCTGCGACGCCCATCTGGTGCTGGAGGGCGAGGAGATCCCCGTGCAGACCAACATCCTGGCGGCCGCCAGCCCTTACATCAGGTGAGGCACGGCCTCGTCCTTGGATCTTACTTAACCCCACGAGCATGTGCAGAGTGCACCAGGCGGGTGTGTTTGGAGGGGAGAGCATTTCCTGGCTGTACATGCGCAACACACGCGTATTATTGTTGTCGTTGTTACCACCATCTCCGAATTAGCTGGCAAGCTCGGCTCGAGGCAGTGCGGTGTAGCGGTTAGAGCGGCCGCCTAAAATTGGGGGCGGGGGGGCGGCACCCGGGTCCAGATCCAGATCCCCATTTGGCCGCGAAGCACCGCGGGTGACATTGGAGCAGTCAGCCGAAGCTACCTCACAAGGTGGTGAGGATAAATTTTGGGAGAGGTTAACTATGTAGGCCGCAGTGAGCTCCTTGGAGGAAAGGTTAGGATGTAAACACAATAAATATGAAAGTCTGCTCAGTAAGGAACTTGAGCCCTAGGAGTCCGTGGTCCTGCTCTCTGTCAGCAACAGGGGGTGGTGAGATGTCTCTGGGAACCTGACAGGTAGCACCTGTTATTTAAAAAACACGGTTTGTTTTAAGAATCAAACAGTTGGTTTGTTGGACCAGGACTTCCAATTGTAGCTTAAGGCAATACTTGCTAAGGACAGGAGGAGAGCCTTGCTGGATGAAACCAGCATATCAAGCACAGCATTTCCAACCGTAACAACCAGAGGCTTCTGGAAACGTGACCTGCAAGTCCTGATCTTTCTAGCAGGATTCATCATGGTTTCTTAAAATGTGTTGCTGCTTGTGAGCTTCGCAGAGGCATGTAGCTTCTTGACCACCGTTGACAACAGCTTTCAGTTAGTTGCCTTGGAAATTCAAAAGTAGGTGATGATAGTGATGGCCATCTCTAATATTTTTTGTGTGTGTGTATGCCGAGAACATACTTTTTATGAAAAAATGGAGGTCTCATTTAGATATGATTGGTATACAGTGGTACCTCAGGTTAAGAACTTAATTCATTCCGGAGGTCCGTTCTTAACCTGAAACTGTTCTTAACCTGAGGTACCACTTTAGCCGCCATGCGATTTCTGTTCTCATCCTGAAGCAAAGTTCTTAACCTGGGGTAATATTTCTGGGTTAGTGGTGTCTGTAACCTGAAGCATCTGTAACCTGAAGCGTCTGTAACCCGAGGTACCACTGATGAATTATTCTCTATTCTGATGAATTGCAACCTCCACAAACACATCTTCAGGATTGAAGAACTAAGACTCCCAAGATGGCTTGAACCCCATCACTCCTTATTAAATGCTGTGTGCCATGTCTGAGCTCAATATCTTTTGACAGAACAAAGACTTATTCTTGAAACTGTGTTGCCAGCTTTTAAAAAAACAAAACAAAACAAAAACTGCTACTGTTTATGACAGACAGAAAGTGTTTCCTGGCTTGTTTTCCCTTAAGCATGCATTTAAAAGGTGGAATATTTTTTTAAACTTTCTTAACCACTCTGGATAGTTAATGCTCCTTACAGATATGCAGACCATATTTAGTAATCTTGGGATGTACACTTAGTTAATCCTTTACAAGTCCCCACAATACTGGAGTTCCATTAGAGAGAACCTTTATTTGATATATGAATGCTGCAGCTGCATGCCAGAGAATTAATGAAAACGGGGCGTGGGTTGTTACCTCCTTCCATTGTAAAACATAGGAAGCTGCCTTAGACAGACCATAGGTTTATCTGGCTCAATACTGTCTACATTGACTGGCAGCAACTCCATTGGGTTTCAAGCTGAAGATGCTCTTCCATTGAGTCACAGTGCTTTGCAAAAGAACTAAAGTGAGACCTGCAGTTCCTAAATTTTCTCTCTCATCCAGACACTGACCAGGCCCAGACCTGCTTAGTTTCAGCAAACATACTGCTCAGTCTCCCTCCATACTATGCCCAGGGACCATGGTTTATGGGAAAGTAGATAAGAGTATATGAATGATTAAAACAGCAAAAGGAGCTGTCTGTAACAGGAACAAGACTATTAACTAGCCACCACATTATGGATTCAGATCTTTCTCATTATTAGCTTTCATGGGTTTTCTCATTTCTTGTTGACCCAGTTGGTTAGCTAACAACCTAGCTGCTCACTCCCTTTTCTCTTTTTCTCTCTCCGGCCCTGCCCTGGCCTGCTGTTTTCCTCTCATCCACACATTTCCTCAACAATAGAAAGAGAATAAATTAAAAAGTGCAGACAAAGTCCTGACTTTTAATAAAACACCAAATAGGTCCATACACAGACACACAGAGTTGTATAGCTCAGCGCTGTCATTTTGACCCCATCTTGTATTGCATGCCCTTTAAAAATTTCTGAGCTACTTTAAAGCACATTAATCTCATTGTGCTGTAAACAGGAGAAAGCATGTAGCTGTACTTTATGATTCAGAAAGGGAGGCAGAAGCCTAGACTTGGACCAATTCCACAGGTGTGTAGCTTCTGGGGGTGAGTGCTTGCCATAGTCAGGAGGTTATTGCCAAATTCACGCTCCCAAGCCACTTATGCTTCCTTTCGCTAGAAAGGAATACAGGAAGTATCATTTCTTTGTTTAGCAACATTACTTATTGACATCACTGTCATCAATCCCTGTTTGATGTGATAAACAGATTCTTGCAAAAATCAAAAGTGGCAGTTTTCATGGTGAGGGGTGGTTTTGAAATTATTGGTTAGCAACTAACTGAAAGGCAGCCACCTGGGGGATTCATGCTTTGTGTGCTAAAAAGTTATTTCATGTACCGGTATATAGAACTGACATTATTAAGACTGACAATAAATAGTAGAGATGGGAGTTTCACAATTTGTTACATATATCTTGCAAATGCACTACTTATGCATAAGGCTAAAGTTGCTGTCTTTATAATGTTAACTATGTACTTCCTGTGCTTCATTATAAATATATGCTTTAAATATGCTTTAAATAAAACAACACACACCTGTCTAAAAGCTGACTGGACATTTTAACTTTAAAATGATATCCTTCATTATAATATGCAACTTGGTGTTTACACAATACCGTGACACCCTTAGAGAGAGAGAGAGTGTGGTGCTTTGTTATTTCCTTCTTGTGATGAACTAATAAATAAGCTGCCTGACCCAGCAGGAAAGGCCTGTCCGCAACATTTTCAGCATTAGATTGTTCTCTGCTCTCCCTACTTTGATAAGTAGTTTCAGATCAAATGCATGCTGAATATTTAATCATCACTCTTTGCATAATTTGCATTGAAGCCACTTTGCCTCTTTTTGAAGTGTTATGACAAATAAGCTTTGTTAAATATTGGTATTTTGACAACTGACATTTCACCACATAGTTTATGGTTCTGGCAGCTTATAGGGCAGTTACTATCCTCCTTTATTGGTTTAAGTGTAGAAAAAGAAGAAGCTTGCTTTAAAATTATTTAGATTTGTTGCCAACACATTTGATGTCATGTTATGCTGATTGCCAATGAATATGCAGCCTACATACTGAGCCCATGTGCACATTACCGATAATTCTGCCTCTAGTGCATTCCCACTGCCAGTGTTTAAAGCTGTGTACATATGACATCAGTCACAATCCGTATCTGTTTTGTAGATTCTTGAGAAATACTCCTGTTTGGTGCATTTCCACTCAAACCAGCTGTTAAATAGAGGTGTGTACATTTGAGACAGCCATTGTGCATGCACAGATGACAGCTTCATGAATTGGAGGTTGGGGTGTGTGTTGCAGGCATGGAGAAATAAATGGGTAACGCACTAGGTGAAGACATCCCTGCCCCCTCTCTGGTGTGTACAGCAGCATGTCAGTGAGACTTGAAGTTAAGCAGGAGGAAACAACCTTGCTGCGTTTTAAATGCTCTAAAATGCACTAGTATGCAACTAGTATTAAACAGTATTTGGGTGTCTTCTAAAGCCTCAGTTGCTAATCCTTAACCACTGTGGTAGCATGTAGTTTGAGTTCACTGGAGAAATCAAAAACATTATGCCTAGCATAGGCAGTCTTTTAATTGACAGTATTTTAGCATCAGATAGAAATAATCCGATAATGAATTATAACAATATATAAAAACATGTCTCTATACAGTGGTACCTCGGGTTACAAATGCTTCGGGTTACAAATACTTCAGGTTACAAAGTCCGCTGATCCAGAAGTAGTACCTTGGGTTGAGCACTTGGCCCCATGATGAGCACAGAAATTGTGCATCAGCGGTGCGGCGGCAACGGGAAGCCCCATTAGCAAAAGCGTGCCTTGGGTTAAGAACAGTTTCGGGTTAAGAACAGACTCCAGAACGAATTAAGTTCGTAACCAGAAGTACCACTGTAATCTGTATTGGTCCAGAAAACATGAACAACTGGCTCAGAAACATGAAAAGTTAGTTTATCTAGTGGGACTTGTTCAGCTTTAGCCTTAGTGAGCTAAAGTATTGATGCCTACTGAAATAAAGAGTTCTGTAGTTTTTTTTATTGGCACAACATACACAATAGTTTTAGGGACAATAATAGGAACAACAAATAAAATATTTGTAGATGGTTGTAAGCACTGGTATCCACATTTGTTCCAGAGAATTTGAGAAGGATGAGTTAAGATCTTTTTCATTGAATCAGTTATTATGGGTGCAGGAGTGTGCAAGTGTTTTTTAATGCATAGGGTTTGTTTTTTTTAATTTGGAATGGTATCTGGAAAGGGAACAAAAGTGCATATTTTTAGTCAAACTGCATGTTAGATGATGCTAGGTGTACATTTTTAAGTGTTTTTATCACTGCCTTTAGTTTTAAGAAAAGGAGCTGTTGGGGAACCTAATCAGGAATGCAAAGAAGAGCTTTCAACCCTGTTCCCCTCAGTGCCACACCTTTACAAAACCATTCACCTCTGCTACTTCTCCTGAAGGTGCTTTCTGCTGCCTGTAGTAGTGGGGCTGGGCTGGGATTTTCAGATGGAAATGGTGTGAGAGGAAAGGATTAACCCCTTATCATGGGCTGCAGTCCCAGCCCAGATCTAGGACCTGTGTAGCTACTTTTTCTAAAAATAGGTGCTTACCATAACATGTAATTTGACCTGCTGTAAAAATGGAAAGTAGCTAAACTAAAGCAAATTTCATTGAACAGTAAATAGTATTTTGGCCTAGCAGAGGACCTATTCCTTAATTGTTTGTGGCTAACAGAAATACAGCATATGATTTATTTATTTTAAGTTTCACTTTACTGTACATCATTTATATTTACAATGTCCTTTAAAGGCTCAATGCATCTTGAGTGCACTCAGGAACAGACTCCTTTGGAAGCTTGTAGTCTCTCCTTCCCTGGAGGTTTTTAAGCAGAGGTTGGATTGCCATCTGTCATGGATGTGTTAGTTGAGGTTCCTGCATTGCAGGGGGTTGGACTAGATGACCCTCAAGGTCCATTCCAGATCTACAGTTCTATGATTCTATCTGCAAAGGACCCAGGCTAGGAGAAAACCTCTGCATTTTCAAGTTAGTTCAGAGTTTTGTTTTCCCATTTCATAAATAAGATTTCTGAATAGATTATAAAAATTAGTGTTTTATAGATGTTACTAAATTATAAGGAAGGGGTCTATTTAGATGGTTATTGTATTCTGGTACAGCTGGTTTAATAAATATAACTGTGCATAATTTAGAGAGTATTTTTGCAGTGAAATCCATTATGCATATTTGAAACCAAAACCAGGGTTTCCTATTAATGCATCAGGATTCTGTGTAAGGAAACTCTTCCTCCTGAAGATATGTTTTACAATAGGGCATTTTGCTAAAGTATATGTAATGTGCCCCTAGACATAATGGGGAAATGGAAATGCTGATGGATGAAAAATGAATGTCAGCCCACATGTCTAATTAAGAAAGGGAGAGGCCAGAACCAGACAAAAAGCCTGTTGCCTGAAGCAAGGGGACAAGAATGAGAATTAAAATTGCCTGAGAACAAATCCCAGCTGCACAGTTGCTAGAAATCATAAGGACTTGCCAGAGATATGTCTGTACTTATGATACTGTAATGGCTAGGTTTGCAAAGATGCTGGTAAAAGATGCAGAACAACAGTTTTCAAATTCAGCTGGGAAGAATTGACTGCTTTTAATGAAAGGGCTGGTGCCATGCTGCTTTTATTGTAATTATTTGTATGTTTTAAACAGATTTTATATATGTATATAGTTTTAATTCTATTAACGTTTAACTGTTTCAGTGATTGGTTTTCTATGTTCATGGCAATTCTTGTTGTTATTTGTAAGATGCCTTGAGTCCCGTCAGGGAAAAGGCTGGGTATAAATAAATTATTATTAATAATAATAACAGCAGTAATAAGACATTATCATTTTTAATTGAAGCACTTGTTTATACTGTTAGGCATCCTGGGCAACACCCCTGAATTTACTCCAACCTTGGATTTGTTTACATTTAAATTTTTGATTCAGAAACGGAAGTGAGTCAAAAGAGAATCAAGAACAACTGGCAATGACTTTTTTTAAAAGAACACCTTCTCTTCATCCCAAGATCCGTGAACTTTGGAATGTGTGTTTGTTACTGTTTTTGAAAAAAACAAAGGGAAAGGTTGATGTAGCTCGCAGTTTTGTAGAGAAGTATGTGTACCTGTGAATGACTTGGAATAGTCAGCAAAATGATGTATGGATTACCGTATTTTTCGCCCTATAGGACGCACTTTTTCCCCTCCAAAAATGAAGGGGAAATGTGTGTGCGTCCTATGGGGCGAATGCAGGCTTTTGCTGAAGCCTGGAGAATGAGAGGGGTCGGTGCGCACCGACCCCTCTCGCTCTCCAGGCTTCGCGGACCTCTCCGCAAGCAGCGGGAGAGCTCCCGCTGCTTGCGGAGAGGTGCCCGCATGCCGAAGCCTGCGCGCGCGGAGATCAGCGCGTCCAGGCTTCACGGACCTCTCTGCAAACAGCGGGAGCCAGCGCTGGGCTCCACGGCTTGCAGAGAGCTGCCTGTTTGGGGGCTGGGGTCGGGGAGCTTGGGCCTCCCGCCCCAGCCCGCGCCTGGGGGAATAATTGCCCCCCCTTTATTCCCCCCCCCAAAAAAAACTAGGTGCGCCTTATGGGACGGTGCGTCCTATAGGGCGAAAAATACGGTAGTCACCTGTGGATTAATGCTGGATCTAGATTGAGTAAGCAATCATTAAGGGGTTTTTTTTATGGCTATAACAGCCTCCCTTTGTATCCAAGATAATATGATCATATCATCCAACCCAAAATAGCAGCCCTGGTTCATATGTTGCAGTAAGAAAGAATTTGACTTACCATGACTATGCTAATGTGTTGGCTCCCGGAGAGGAGCTCACACCAGCGTTGTTCCTCCCTGGAGTCTGACTCTAGGTCAGCACAAGACAACAGCTAAGCCCAAAGTTTGGCTTTAGTGTGCTGTCCAAAGTTGTGGGTTTTCTCTCCTGCTTAACCATAGAACAAATCTTGGCTACAGATGATGGTTAAGAAGGAGAGTTCATCACCATGATCCTGGGTTCAGACAATACTTGGGCTTAGTTGTTGTGTTATGCTGGCCTAAAAAGCCCAGGGAGGGGTAAGACAAATGTGATCTCCTTTTCCAGAATGAGCATGTTTGTACTACTCCATGGTTTGGCTTAGTGTGAAGGTACAAACACAGCCAGTGAGTAAGTCCCAGGTTCTAGTTTCATCTCTACCACAAATTCACTCTCCCATGACCTCTGCTCCCTATCTTCAATATGAGAATACAGTGGTACCTCGGGTTACATACGCTTCAGGTTACATACGCTTCAGGTTACAGACTCCGCTAACCCAGAAATAGTACTTAACCCGAGGTACCACTGTAATAATGCTAGCCTACCTTTTGTTGTGTAGTGGTAATAGGGCTGGCCTGCCCATGAGGCAGACTGAAGCAATTGCATTGGGCAGCAGAATCCTGTGGGGTGGTGTCCCTCCCACCTCTGCTAGGGTTGTGCAGCGGCAGTGGTGGCTTCCAATGAGATCTCACAAGAGTTCCATGATTCTTGCCAGAAGCCACAGCTGTGTGACACCAGTAAGCAAGTCTTCGGCGGAGTGGGGGGCATCTTTCCCTTTTTTCTCAGGCGGCAAAACAGAATGGGCCACCCTGGGTGGTAAAAATTACAAGAAACTAATGTGTGTAGAGTGCTTTGAACATTCAAATGTGCTATACAGATGCTAATTATTAGTGCAGTGGTACCTCGGGTTAAGTACTTAATTTGTTCTGGAGGTCTTTTCTTAACCTGAAACTGTTCTTAACCTGAAGCACCACTTTAGCTAATGGGGCCTCCCGCTGCCGCTGCGCCGCCAACTCACGATTTCTGTTCTCATCCTGAAGCAAAGTTCTTAACCCGAGGTACTATTTCTGGGTTAGCAGAGTCTGTAACCTGAAGTGTATGTAACCCGAGGTACTACTGTATTGCCATACATCCTAAAGGGGCAGGTATGAGTTTAGTGGTTGGCAAGTAGAATACAATTCAAGCTATTTTTATCCTGTGTAAACTATTCAGATAGCCAAGATATAATAAGAATCATTCTCTTTCATTTTATAAGACATCTAGCCATATATTAAATCAGTGCTTCAAGTATTCTGAGAAAATGGAAATATGTTTGATATGACTTGGATACACTGAGTGTGCCAGTGAGTTGGCATATTAGCATATCCATAGAGAGCCTTGTCTGAGGGGTGGGTGGGTGACTTTCAGTTTTTTTCTTTTCTTTTTACTTGGCCTATTTCTGTTAGGTGTGGGTCTGTAGAGCAGAGTAACATGGGTTCCCACTGATTTATCGTGAGACTGTTTGGATTACAATTCTAAATTCTAAATATAGTTTTAATATTTCTACATCTTAATGTAATGTTTTTGTCCTGTTGTTAGCCCAAAAGGCTCAAATGATTCTTGAGTAATTGTGCTGTAAACTTGTTATTTCTGATGTACAAATGTCTTCCTAGAAGACTTCGTTAAAAACTACTAACATAAAAGAACCATAAATAGATCTAAAGTTGTTGCTATCTGCTGTGGCTGAAAGAGGGTGTGGGCCTGCCTATTCTGTCTCAGACTTCTTTCTTCTTTCTACTTGGCATTGTCTGATTTTTATAGCATTTTGATTGGTTTTTATTGAAGCTTGTGAGAAGACAGATGACTAAAGCTCCTTAGTCATTGCATAAATTTGGTGGTGTGCATCACTTGGCTCCTAATTTTAATGACTGAGTGAGATTTAAATTCAGATCTGGAGATTATGTAAGAACATAACTGGGTGAGTAATAATGGTAGTCGTGCTGTTACTTTGAGTGTTTTTGGCTAATGGAAGTGTTAGGCAACATGGGTTAGCACATTCCCTTCTGCCTTTATATGTGGAATTACCATTTCTGTTACATCTTGGCATACTAGGTTGTATTTTGGTTTTTTAATGTGATTTGTAAGCTGTTGCAGTTTAAACTCCCAAATATCATGTTTACTTTAAAAAAACTTAATAGATCAGAGGTTTTGTGTAGCGGTTTGTTTAATGAACACAGACCCTTTTTATTTGAGCTAGTTATCCAAATTTGCATTAATATCTGAAAGATAAACATATCTCCCCATATTTATCCTTTAAAAGTTGGTGTGATAGCTAAGAACATTTGTTCAGGAATACTTTTGAACATAAACTTTTGTTCCTTGCTGGTCAGTGGCAGCCATTTCAGAAAGAAACCATGAAAGAGGGGGAGATTGGACAAATAACGGATTAGAAATGTTTCCACAAGAAATAATGGAAATTGTCAGCTCGTTATGTGAACACTCGCCTAATGAATGATTTCCTGGGAATTTCATTGTGTTCAGAAAGGGAGACCTGCATGTAATATATACAGTTTCAGTTGTGAAAAATGTCCAGGGTGGACCCTGAAATTACAGCATACAAATTGAAGGAATGTCAACTTAGGAAGGTGGTAGCTGATCTCTCTTGTTTTATCCTGCCCTGCTAGAAAAGCAGGTCTTGTTTTTGTTGTACATTTAATTGTGCAGAATTCCTAGTCCCATTTTCTTATGACATTGAAAGTGCATTAGCTGCACTGAATGTACCCCTTGGCCTTGATTGAAATTCTCTGTTGCTCTTATCCTAATTTGCTATAACCATATTTTCATGCTGTGAACACAACAGGTTTTCCAAGTTCATGCCTTTAGTGTCTGCAATATGCAGGGGGCTCCATGGCAAAGGATTCTGGGGTTAGATGAATGTTGCAGGGTGGACATTCATTGATACATTGTATTGATACATTGTCCAGGCCTACCCACCACCCACTCTTCCACCATGCAGCCCAAAGCCTCCCAACAAAAACATGGCAAGCCAATGGCTTACACCGCCTAACAGACTTCTACAGAAATGACAAACCCATACCAGCACAAGAAATACAAGATAAACTAGGGGACACCCAAATATCCTGGTTGAACCAACACCAACTACACACCTCCTTAAATAGCCCAGCAATCAAAGCAGCAGGCACTAGACCTCTCACCACCTTTGAAAAACTCCTCCTGACAGCCGAGGGGCACAGCAAGTGGATGGTGTCCACAATGTACAAAAAACTACTCCAAGATTCTACAAAGCTCCCCAACACAATCAAAGACCAATGGGAGCATCCTATAAGTTATGAAATAAACCCTACCCAAACTGTGGTCTAAACTACCCTTTTAAATCCATCTCATCCAAAAGAAGGGAACTCAGTTTGAAACTAATTTATAAATAGTACCTAATATCTGGGAAGCTGGCACTGATACATGCAGGAACTTCAGCTATATGCTGGAGAGATTGTACCACCACAGGAACATGCCTCCACATGTGTTGGGAATGCCTCCAAATTCAACCCTTTGGAACATCAGTCCTTCAAGAAACCTGTAAAATAACAAAGCAGGTACTAGAAGCAACTCCAGAACTGCCCTTTTAAACATTTTCCAAGGCAACAATGCACACTCAGATGACAAAGAGCTCATAAGCCACTTACTCTCAGCAGCTAGGAGTGTCATAACTAGACACTGGAGGGACATGTGAGGAGTAAACATGGACCACTGGTACCAAATTGTATGGGAAACAACCCTACTAGGAAAGCTAACCAACAAATTGAAGCTAACCAGGGAACAAACAAAAGAGGATGCCTTCACCCTGGTATGTTGTTGTTGTTGTTGTTGTTGTTGTTTAGTCGTTTAGTAAGTATTGGAGCCTCAGTTTCAGGATCTGTCCTTCCAGTGAGCACTCAGGACTGATTTCCTTAAGAATGGATAGGTTTGATCTTCTTTCAGTCCATGGGACTCTCCAGCACCATAATTCAAAAGCATCAATTCTTCGGCGATCAGCCTTCTCACCCTGGTATAGCTCAAACAAACAAAACCCACTGCAATTGACTAAATGCAACCAACTAAGCTGTGGATTCTCCGGTCTCTCGCACCGCCTTCAAAGAAACAAACAGACAAATGAAGGACCTATCTTCACAATGCTGACACAAAAACTGCACGTATACTAAGCAAAAGAATGAACGTTTATCCCCTCCTTTTTTCTCCCCCCTCCGATTATTTCCACCTACAACCTCACAATGTGTATGACAGCAGTGTCTCACACTAACTGTAACTGACCTGTAGAAAGGACTCTGTGAATTGAAAACGGAAACATTGCATGTACCCTTGTTAACTATGGAAATCCTTTAATACAAACATTTTTTTTAAAGGCTATGTTGCTAAACTCTGCTACTAGTCCAGGCAGTGCCAGCTCTTAGTTTTGCAACATTGTAATTGAGATATTGAGACATGGCCAGCTATGTCATCATTAGCTTGCCTTTGGCCTATTAAATGCTACAAATTGCAAACTTTATAATACAGTACCTTGTTTGACTTCACAAATTCTGAAAGATTAAAAAGCTGACTTTTCACCAGTTGAAAACCAATTTTTTTTATTCCTTATTTTAAGAATTTGTAAGCTGTTTAGTATAAACTATCTAAGCAATGAACAAGAGTATACAAAAATACATAAAATATAATCAATAATGAAGCAGAATGACAAAACATAATAAAAATCCATCATAGATGTTATCAGCTGCAAACTAAAACAATAATTCAGCTTGGAAAGGGCGAAGTGGGGAGAAAAAAAGATAAATTCCATAATTCTGGTGACACCATACTGAACACATGGCACTGCCAGGAAGGCCTCACCAGCTGAGTGCAGAGACAAGTACCCTGGTTTTTATACAGAGATGCTGCAAGGATTTATTTTTATTTCCTTTGAGTTCTGAGGTTGCTCATCATGTACAGAGCACCTGAAAACAAGTACGTAAGCAAAATTTTTGGAAAATTGCCACTCAGAGCAGGGTGTGGTGAAAGTTGATATCTTTAATGTGCACTGCCAAAAGGCTAGGGTGTGACCTGGAACAGAAGGTGAGGGGAGACAGAAACCCTTGTTAATTTGTTGAACAAATCTTTATGGGGAAGGGGTTTAACCTTAAAGTGCTGCATCATGTTGATGTGGAATATAATACTCCCTGAAACATTTTCATGAGCCAACGGCAGAATTTACAGCAAGGAAGCATTATAGGTATAAAAACAATAATGATGGCTTGTCATCTTTTATATAATACAATTAAGCAATACTTCATTAGGACTAACATGGGGATGTTTTCTGGCAGATCACAAATCTTCATAGAAATAAGTTAACCTAACTGTGTCTTGGTGCCGTCAGTTGATACCAAAAGCTACCCATATAGACTTCAGCAGTAGAGAAATCTGCAGTCATTTACATTGACTTGCAACAAAGGGCACCTGGTGGCTTTGGATCTGTGTGTGTTAATGTGGATCTGCCCCCATAATAACTGAGGGGGTGAGATATAAAGTGCAAAAGGCTAACATTGGCACAGAGTGCTCTTCACGCCCCTTCTTCAGCTCCCTCAAGGTGATTTTCTGTGGACTTGGATAATTTCCTGTATTCTTAGTTGTTGTTTTTTGGGGGGAGACCTTGGACAGTAGACGGAAGGCGAGGTAAAAGTGGCATAAGTAGAGAAAGCTTAGCACCTCAATCTTTGTGTTCCTTTTGTGGTTTCGATTCCATACCTGCCCATTGTTTTACATATAATTGAGGCAGGTTGTCATTTAAAGCCGTGTATCTTCTGTCATCAAGTGTAGTTGGGCCCTGAACTTTGTCATTAGTAAGATAACACATGATACAGAGCAGGATTGTTAATTACCTCTTCCCTGTGGTAAAGGAGTTGGGTGTATGTGTGCCTGAGACGCAAATCAAACCGAGACTTCTCTTTAAATTGCAACACCTAAACAGACCCTGAAGTGTTTCCAAAAGTGGCTAATGCTGCCTTTGAATATAGGCATGAGATCTTCATTCCAGGTCCTATTTATGCCTGTGTAATGTGTTTACTGAAAAAGATACCATTCTTTTGTTCAACCTTAAGCAATAGCATTCTGCTGACTCAGTCAGTGTTTACTTGAGTGATTTGTAATAGATTTGTATATCTGATATTACTAACATTTTTACTTTGTGTTTTGATATCCTGCCTGGTAGCTGATCTTTCCTTAATGAGGAGATGTAATTTCAGAAGTATATAGCTTATTCTTCCTATATGCATACACACAGAGAGATAGCTAAAGAGAGAGATGCCTAAAGACACTTCACAGACCACCTGTAGCTCTGTGTTATGCAAATCCCACTTCGTGTTATATACAAACACTTAAGGTTAAATATTAAAGGTCATTTTGATGATGAATAAGACTTGTTAAACTTTCAGCAAAATGATTGCACGGGTTTAACTTTGTGACCATGCCCTCTATAAGCTTTCTGCTTGAAATGGAATGCAGGTCATTACTTGTGAGTTGATCTACTGGCCAGTAGGCAACCTAGCCTATTGTTTAAATTTGGAAACCTTCAAGTCAGTTTTACTCCTAAAAGAAATGAAATGGGAATAAATTAGGGGAAAACTCTTCCTGCTGTGTATTTCTTTCTCCTTCCCATTTTGTTTTTCTGAGCTGTTTTCAGTTGCCATTGAAAGCTCAGAGATGATTACTTCATTACTGCTGAGGCCTGTTGGCATAAAACCTCAAAGGCCCTGCCATTAGCTATCTGAGATTACACATTGTGATAAGATGGAACTTGCAATATGACTGAGAGACAGTATTGGACTGAAACCTGGGAGACTGGGGTTGTAACCGCCACTCAGCCTTGAAGCTCACTGCGTGACCTTGAGCCTGTCACTGCCTCTCAGCCTATCCTACCACATAGTGAGACAACACATGTGCACCTTGAGTTCCATGGAAGAGAGATGAGATCTGAATGTAATAAAATGTGTGAATGAAGGGCGTCTCCAGATCAAAAAGGACATGTGGGAATGAGCATTGATTTGCTGGATCAAATTAAGGGCCAACTGATTCACAATGCCCCCCCCCCCCAGTTGCAGCCAGCAGCTCACAGACCTAAGGCTTCACATGCCCCTAATGGATGGATAATAATTTCTCATTATAGCATATATCAAGATTATTCAATGCAGGCTTTGCTAAGTATGTTATATTCTTGTTCTGGCTATCCCTTATATCTGCTCCAGTACAACTTATGCCTTTCCCTATTCCAGGCCTTTCGTTGTGGCTGGCAAAGTGTGGTCTCCCTTAGGCATCCAGATTAGTGTGTGGTCATTAATGAACGTTGTTTCCCAGGAAATGTGTGAATTGTTTTGCAACCTTAGGTTTATATCTGATTGGATTTGGAAAACTTTATCTTTTTATCACTTGAAATAATTCTGTACAAATCCTGTGCTATGAATTGAGCAGATTTAGGGAGTGTATGCATAGCAAATAAGAAATAATGTGTTGATCAAAATTCCTGTTAAGAAATCAGAGTTAGCTTCCTATATTTAACAGCTGGCACGAAAGAATTTTATGCTGTGCACTAAACATCCACAGGCTGATACCATTAAGTGATACTACAGACTTAAACAGCTGCTTTCTCCTTTTCTTAGTACCTCTGTTTAATAGTGTGTGTTTATATGTAATTGAAAAACCTATTCTGAAATCTGAGAAATTTTCATATGTGACCTTCCTTTGTTTATGTCTTGTTCTAATCATTTTGTAAAAACAGCTATGTTTTCTGATTTCAGAACAAAGCTGAACTATAATCCTCCAAAGGATGATGGCTCCACATATAAAATTGAACTTGAAGGGATATCTGTTGATATTATGAAAGAGATTTTGGACTACATCTTCAGTGGTCAGGTTTGTGTTTCCAAGGTTATTCCTACATATCTCTGTATGTCAGTTCTAGTCATAATCTACACCTTCAAAAAACCCTTTGAACAGAATGGGCAGAAAGTAGATTGAGGCAGGAAGTATTATCTGAGTGGCTGGTCAGATCCCAGCCAAAGTAAAAAAAATTCTCATGCAAGTGCAGCTTGAGCTTGAGCTGCTCTAACAGAAAGAGTTCTTTTATATCGCCAGCTTCAGTCCAAGCTTTGGGCTTTGCTGATACCAGTGGGGCTTCCTGCAAACTCCATTCAGCAGATCAGTGCTAATAACAACCCCTGCTTTGGGCAGAGATGATCTGTGCTACAAAGTTCCTAATTGCAGCTGATCCCAAATAACACAGCCAATCCCATGTGGTTTGCTTTCACTGCCAATCAGCCACATCGACAACAAGCCTCACTTGCAATTAGGAGGACACTTCAAGGCTCCTGGTGGTTCCTCTGCTTCTGCCTCTCTCCCTGCACCACACCTAATGTCAAATATGGTGGGTGTTGTTTGGGGAAAATAGCCTTGCAGGCCAAATTGCTACCCAAATCATCAGGCCTAATTTGGTCCACAGGCCAGAGGTTCCATACTCCTGAAGCAGACTTGTAGTGGATTGCAGACCAGTTTCCCATGGACTATCTCATCCCTGCTGCTTGCTGAGATTCTTGCAAAGTTTGCTAAATGGGGTGGAAGCTGGTCTGATCCTTAAGTTATTTATTAAGAGGGCACATTGCTTTGTTTTAACAGTTGAGAGATTGTGAACATGATCTTACATACAGTAAAAGCACAAGAAGACTGCTGGATGAGACCACGGGTCCAACTAGTGCAACATCTTGTTTCTCGTAGTGGCTAGCTAGAAGCTTTTAGGAAGTCCAAATCCTGGGTGTGAATGCAAATGCCTTCTCATGTTTCTTCCCCCGTGACTAGTATGCAAAAGTATACCACCTATCAACCTGCAGGTTTCGTTTAGGTGTCATGGTTAGTGACTTTTGACAGACATATCCTCCATGAACATTTCTGAGCCCTGTCTTAAAGCCATGTAAGCAAGTGGCTCTCACCACATATTGCAGCAAGCAAATTTTAGTATTATACTGAAGTCATCCTACCTCTGACTCCAGATGATCACAGATGATCAATGTGTAAATGTGTGACAAGTGACACAGGCAGTATACTGGAGGTGGAGGAAAGCAGGTACATGGCATAAGTCTGGCATACACTTCTACTTCCCTCTCCAGTGCTGTGCTGTTATCTTCTCACTAAAGTAGAGGCAAAACTCCACAAAGCTACGAAGGGGGAAGACAGTTAGTTGCAGTAATGGACACTAGTGCTGCACTTTCATACTTGAAACTGAACTAGTTGTAATTTCCTCTCCTCCAAAATAAACCTTTTGCAGATCAAGCTAAGTGAAGACACCATCCAGGACGTTGTGCAGGCTGCTGATTTATTGCTGCTTACAGACCTGAAAACTCTGTGCTGTGAGTTTCTGGAAGGCTGCATTGCTGCAGAGAACTGTATTGGAATCCGGGACTTTGCACTACACTATTGTCTGCGTCATGTTCATTATCTTGCCTCCGAATATCTGGAAACACACTTCCGGGATGTTAGCAGTACGGAGGAGTTTCTGGAACTGAGTCCTCAGAAAGCAAAAGAAGTGCTGTCCTTGGAGAAGCTGAATGTTGGGAATGAAAGACATGTTTTTGAAGCAGTTATTAGATGGATCTCCCATGACCCTGAGTTAAGAAAGGTAAAGAATTTGAAGTTACGTAATGCTGCTTCAGAAAAAATAATCAGCACTTCATTGTACTTGGGTGCTTCAAATTGCAATGCATTGTGGGATTTGGGTCCATATTGTAGACTATTGATGTTACCAGCATCATTCTGTCTGTACCCAGACATTCTGCACTAAGAAAAGCTGAATTCTGCAGCATATATAGATTAATCTGGCCAAAGAACTTTACATGTTTTGTTTACATTAATTTCCTTAATTCATTCTACATTTTACTAATTTGTATAATTCTAGCAATGCCTAGTCATAGAGAGGAGCAAGTTGCTGCATAGTGGACTCCTGTCCTGCCCCAACTATTCAGCTGCCCCTTGAGATTCTGAGATGTAGGAGGGTTTTCTTCACTCACTTTCTAGCCTATTTTCTCAGCCGTAAGGACTATGAACTTGTTTTAAAATGAAAAATTAGATTAAAGTAAGCTGATTTGTGCACCTAGTGCCATATTATGTGCTTCTGCAGAATTGCAAAATAGAGACAGCCCTCCATATTACCAAAATAATGCATATGCTGTAGCATTTTTCGTGTCAGTGCTTCCTCTTCCAAGTCAGTATATCCTGGTATTGTATAAGCAGGAATTCTGAGAAATAAGCTTTCCATAAAGCCATATGCTCCTGTGACTGTTTTATGATTCAGCTTGTGTGTTTGCCTGAAATATCTTTCTGCCTCTTCAGGTTCACATGAAGGATGTAATGTCAGCTGTGTGGGTATCTGGGCTAGATGCTACCTACTTGCGTGAGCAAATGATGAATGACCCACTGGTACGGGAGATTGTCAAAGAATGTAGCAACATTCCACTCACTCCGCCACAGCAGGGGGAGGCAATGCTAGCATCTTTTAAACCCAGAGGATACTCAGAGTGCATTGTCACTGTTGGTGGTGAAGAAAGAGTGTAAGTGGCTCAGGCATGCATGCTGTTTCAGATCTCAGAAGTGGATGGGGGTTGGAGAGGGATGATACTCGAGTAAGCGCCCTATTGTTGGTTATATTTGAGATTAAGCTGCAAAACTACATTGTGCTTTATTTTTTCTTGTATGCCTTATAACTATGGGTTGTATCCAAAGATACCCTTCCATTTGTGGGAGGTTTCTTCTGTTCACCAAAAGGGCAGTTTTGCGTTTGGACCAAGGTGCTGCACAAGGAAAATAAATAAACCAATTCCAGATATGTTCTTCTGTTGTGCCACCTCTTGCACAAGTGGAAGCATGAAAACTACTCTAAAGCCTACCTCCTACAGTGCCATGTGCACTCTTACGCAAGTTAATGTGCAAATGTTTGTACAACAGGGCTAGCAGCTATTATCCTTCTGTCCACTGTTCCTTGAATCCTGCCCATTAGCAGTGTTACCAGTGCAAGGAAACAGGCATTTTTCTTCTGAAGCAAAGGTTTATGTGCCTTTGACATGCATACTACACATACTACCATTTAATTGTTTATAACATCCATTCAACATGAGGAACTTGTAAACTGGCCAAAGACAGAGGTATGTGAGCTGAAAAACATGGAAGGTGACTGACTTATTCAGAGTTCATTTATTTGTACAAATTATTGTCTAAGTCACCAATGTGTGAAGTCCTGTGGAAAACCACCTCCTCAAAACATAAGAGGGAACAAATCACGGTTTATTTCTATAGGAATACTGCATAACCCATATCTCACCATGCTGGAGTCCCAGATAACCTTGCAAGCATGTCTACAAAAACTGCCTGCTCACTGTACTTGTATGTAAATTAGCCTAAAAGAGAGAAGGAAAATGTGCAGCTTCTGTGACTTGTTGCTTAGAGGCATTTGTCACTCAACACAAGTGGCTAGACAAGTGGTCTCTACAAGCCTGGTCTAAACACACGTGCTTGGCAGAATAGAAATGCCAGGCCATAACATCTAGCTCAATATTGTCTGGCAGTGGTTCTCCAGGGTTTCTGACTGCGGACATTCCCAGCCAGGCCTGGAAGCGCCAAGGATTGAATTTGCAACATCTGCGTGCAACCTATGTGCTTTACCATTGAGCACTAGAGCCTTTCTCCTGACTTGCCTGACCTATTGTGCCACCCTCCTGCCACACACACAAAAAGGATTTAAGTCTCAAACAAAAGTCAGTATAAAGCATACAAACAGAATGGATGCTTCTACACTGAAGTAGAAACCCCATCACCTCTGCATTGTTGGGTTCTAATCAAGATTTGCTGTATGGGCAAGGTTGCTGAGCTAATTTATCCTTTTTCTCCTGTTCAGATCCCGGAAACCATCAGCAGTAATGAGGTGTATGTGCCCTCTTTATGATCCTAACAGACAGCTATGGATAGAACTGGCTCCTTTAAGTACACCTAGGATAAATCATGGTGTGCTTTCAGCAGGTAGGAAAGTTATTTGTTTCTTTAGTAGGAGAATACAAGGCTAAATCTGTTAACTCAGGGGTCAGCAAACTTTTTCAGTCCGGGGCCAATCCACTGTCCCTCAGATCTTGTGGGGGGCCAGACTATATTTTTTGGGGAGAAATGAACAAATTCCTATTCCTCACAAATAACCCAGAGATGCATTTTAAATAAAAGTACACATTCTACTCATGTAAAAACACACTGATTCCTGAACCATCCGCGGGCTGGATTTAGAAGACGACTGGGCCGAATCTGGCCCCCGGGCCTTAGTTTGCCTACCGATGTGTTAACTGTTTTCAAAGCCAATATTGTTTGTTTGTTTGTTTGTTTGTTTGTTTTGCTTCTTTGATCACAGCCATGCAGAATATTAACCTGTGAAATACTCAAGAAGTATTTTGGAGGACAACCAAAGGGTGGAGACTCAAGAGTCAAGATTGGCGACATATTTGGTAGATCCTACATCTATCGTTTGTCCCCCCTGCCCCCAAAGCTCAGGGAACTTTCCATGAGAGACAAAGTGTCACCACCAAAATATAACATTGGCAAAACAACAACCACAACATATGTGTATCAACTTATTTGGAACTTCCCCATATAGTATATACTGTATACAAATAAAATAAAATTCGACAAACTTGGCAATAGGAAAACTACACTCATTCCAGACTTTCTGTGTTGCATCACATATTCAAGCATCAATAGATTTTGTAAGAAAGAATTTAATCAGTTTAAAATTGGTATCAAAACCCATGGCTTTGAAGTATTCTTATAAGCTTTGAAATGCTGTTCAGTATCTAGTAGAAACTTCTTAAACATGTTCTTACAAGAACGTCCTGCTTTAAAACAACTGGAATCTTGCTCTGTGTTATCTCCTAAATGAAAGAATAAAACTGTTCCCAGTATAACACTTTTATTTTTATATGTTCATTGGAATATAATTGCCACAAACTAGTGTTCTAGAATAAATAAAACATCAAGCCGTCTTTCACCTGTTGCAATACATATACTATAAGGTATAAAAACTAAGCAGCAAAAAGAAAGAAATATCAACACTGATTTGGACCTGTAACTGCCCTCATTCTGGATACCTGATAAAAGATCATGATGGTCATTTGTGATTATGGCTTCCTGGAACCTCCATGTTCCAAGGCAGTAGGAATACTCATTGGTGGGAATCAACCACGGAAGAGGGCTTTGGCCTTCCATGTCCTGCTTGTCGGCATCTGTGCGTGATAGACCTCTGGTCTGATCCAGCTAGGCTCCTAGTTCTCATTAATACCAGCTAGATGTGCCACCAGTGCAACTTGCATTTCCAAATCATTTTGTGGTCTGTTTTTCAGAAGGGTTCCTGTTTGTACTTGGAGGTCAGGATGAAGATAAAGTCACTTTAAACTCTGGAGAAAAGTATGATCCAGATACCAATTCATGGAGTTCTTTACCACCAATGAATGAGGCAAGTCTGCCTTTTTATTAGCCGTCGCCCCCACCCACCCCAATTTCTGCAGTTTTGTTCTGATCAGATCTTTGGATATCCATTTATGTTGGTTAACAAAAGCTAGGATAGTTATTTCTGTTAAATTCTTCAGTTTCTTTTGTAAGTGAATTTAATAAATGCTACTCTACTTATTTCCAATAGGCACGGCACAACTTTGGCTTGGTAGAGATTGATGGAGTGCTATATGTTCTGGGAGGCGAGGATGGAGAACGGGAACTCATGTCTATGGAGTCCTATGACATTTATAATAGGACTTGGACGAAGCAACCGGACTTGACAATGATTAGAAAGGTAGGAACTAAGCAAAAACAGGATGCTATTTTTCAAACTGTTTCTAAACTGCTGCATTTGGTTTAATGTTGCTTGGCTTCTGAGCTGCTCATTTCTACACTTCTTTCTCGTGTTCCGAAGTTCAGAAAGGTGGCTAAATCTCAAGCTGATACAGAGCAAGGTTGAATTCCAGAAGAGCAATCTTGAGCCAGATAATGGCTCAAAACACTTACCTCATCAACTGTTGTATTTTCTGTTTAAATTGCATTAGGAACGGTAAACTTATTATCTGTTAGTTAATGTGTGAGAGCACTCCTTCCCCCCAGAAGTATTTTGATTTTAAAGGGCTTGTGCTTCACTTTATTTGTTTTCTTATTATTATTACTGTCTGACATATACATTAACCAAATGACAAATGGTGCATGATAGCTTTGGATTTTGCTTTTTTAAGATTGGTTGCTATGCGGCTATGAAAAAGAAGATCTATGCAATGGGCGGGGGTTCGTATGGCAAGCTTTTTGAGTCCGTTGAATGTTACGACCCAAGGATCCAGCAGTGGACAGCTATCTGTCCGCTAAAAGAGAGGAGGTTAGTAAATTACTAGTAACACGTATCATTGCCTTAATCCTGCATACCATCCAGTGCTCCACAGGTGAAAATAGAGGCACATATATGTGTTTATAAACCACCCTTATTTCTTGCAGCAAGGATCGTTTCCTGAGATGTTACATCTCCCCAATTGCTGAAGGCTCCTCCTCTTTACATGGTCTACATAAGTGACCACAGTTATTGTTGTTGATGTTGTTATTAATTTAAATTTATATGCTGTCCTTCATCAAAAGACTAGAGGGTAGTTTACAACATGGAATGCAAATGAAAGTACATAACATGATAGCTATACAATGTGAAAATCAAAACAATTATAGAAATTATGATAATAAGAAATATGTAATAAAATACAGATTCTCATAACAGCAACATCATAAGAACGAATGGATTTCAGAGTGTAAGCTGCAACTCAAAACACTGTCTATTGATAGGCAGTTATGGTTGTAGATTTTGTCTGGGATGTTGTCTTTAGTTTGTGCAGTTGATTGTTCCCTTTTTTGGAAAACTGAATTGCATTTTTGTAAATAATTCTGCTACCAAGGGAGGAACTTGTTAGGTCTCAGGAGTTATGGTAGGTTTCAGTGGATATGAGATTCATAGACAGATGAACAATGGGGATGGCAAGGCAGCTTAGAAACAAATACAGTGGTACCTCAGGTTACATACGCTTCAGGTTACATATGCTTCAGGTTACAGACTCCGCTAACCCAGAAATAGTGCTTCAGCTTAAGAACTTTGCTTCAGGATGAGAACAGAAATTGTGCTCGGCGGCACGGCGGCAGCAGGAGGCCCCATTAGCTAAAGTGGTTCTTCAGGTTAAGAACAGTTTCAGGTTAAGTACGGACCTCCGGAACGAATTAAGTACTTAACCTGAGGTACCACTGTAGTTACACTTTTCTAAACAATCAATAAACTTATAAGATTAAAATAATGGTGACGAGCAAGTGTGAAAGGCTTGTCAGCTCAGGTAGCTGATGTTGTGGCTTTTACATGTGTGTGATACTGAGATCATACTGTCCTCTTTGGTTTTCATGCCTTCACCTATACAGCATGTATTACAGTGGTACCTCGGGTTACGAACTTAATTCGTTCCGGAGGTCCATTCTTAACCCAAAACTGTTCTTAAACTGAGGTGCGTTTTCGCTAGTGGGGCCTCCCGCTGCCGCCGCCGTGCAATTTCCGTTCTTAACCTGGGGCAAAGTTTGTAACCCAAGGTACTACTTCCGGGTTAGTGAAGTTTGTAACCTGAGGTGTTTGTAACCTGAGGTACCACTGTATTTTCCTTGACTTCATGAGTGATGGGGTCTCTCTTTTTTATAGCATATATCTCATTACATTAGGCCATAGTTTGTTTGTTTTAAATCACTCCAAATGTTAGTAGCTCTGTCAAATTCTGCTTAATGTCAAGAGAGCAGGAATTCTGAGGTAACCTGGACACCCAAGATTCCTCTTACATCTTTTTTTTTTTAAGGTTTGGGGCTGTGGCCTGTGGAGTTGCTTCAGAACTCTATGTCTTTGGTGGAGTGAGAAGTCGTGATGACAATCAATCCAGTGAGATGGTGACGTGTAAATCAGAATTCTATCACGATGAATTTAAAAGGTAACAACTGCTAAGATAGCTCACTAACATGATCTTACAGCCTCTAAAATAGCTGTTGACCTTTTTATCACTCACAGTTTAATTGAATAGTTGTAATGCAACTGCATATGTGGAGGTGCCCTGTAGAGGCTGTCTTTTTCTGAGTCTAGCCCAGCGCAGTCTGCTCTGATTGAGAGTTTATAGAGGTGCTGCCAGACTGATATATTTTCCAACGCTAAGTGTAACCTGATATTATTTAGCCTGAAATTCCAGCCAGGGACAGTCTGCATGCAGTACATGGGCTCCATTGCTGAGTTATGGTCTCTCCCCTTTGGGGGAAAAAAATAAAATATATGCCCTGTTGCATGAGTAAATCTAACCCCTGGCATTTTTTCCAGATAGAATAATAGATTTATTTTTATGAAGTATTAGTGTATGCCAGCCTTGTTTGGTTTTTCATTTAAATCTTAACTTGACCTGTAAGCTGCGTCTGCATAGTTTTCATGAGAACTGGCTCAAAGTTCTTGCTTCTGTGGGTTATGCCTGAAATAATAAGCAAGACTGAATACTTAACAGTGGTGCCATACTAATTGTGTAATGTTAATCTTCCTGTTCTGGGAGCATGTCTGCATTCAATAAATCTTTCTAGACATGTGGTTCCACTTGTTTACATCTGTTAACCAGAAGATTAGGCCAGTGGAAGTGATAATATTCCAGCTGAACTATTTAAAATTTTAAAAGATGATGCTGTTAAGGTGCTACACTCAATATGCCAGCAAATTTGGAAAACTCAGCAGTGGCCAGAGGATTGGAGAAGATCAGTCTACATCCCAATCCCAAAGAAGGGCAGTGCCAAAGAATGCTCCAACTACCGCACAATTGCACTCATTACACACGCTAGCAAGGTTACGCTTAAAATTCTACAAGGCAGGCTTAAGCAGTATGTGGACCGAGAACTCCCAGAAGTGCAAGCTGGATTTAGAAGAGGCAGAGGAACCAGAGACCAAATTGCAAACATGCGCTGGATTATGGAGAAAGCTAGAGAGTTCCAGAAAGACATCTACTTCTGCTTCATTGACTATGCAAAAGCCTTTGACTGTGTCGACCACAGCAAACTATGGCAAGTTCTTAAAGAAATGGGAGTGCCTGATCACCTCATCTGTCTCCTGAGAAACCTCTATGTGGGACAAGAAGCTACAGTTAGAACTGGATATGGAACAACTGACTGGTTCAAAATTGGGAAAGGAGTATGGCAAGGCTGTATATTGTCCCCCTGCTTATTTAACTTATATGCAGAATTCATCATGCGAAAGGCTGGGCTGGATGAATCCCAAGCCGGAATTAAGATCGCTGGAAGAAATATCAACAACCTCAGATATGCAGATGATACAACCTTGATGGCAGAAAGTGAGGAGGAATTAAAGAACCTTTCAATGAGGGTGAAAGAGGAGAGCGCAAAATATGGTCTGAAGCTCAACATCAAAAACGAAGATCATGGCCACTGGTCCCATCACCTCCTGGCAAATAGAAGGGGAAGAAATGGAGGCAGTGAGAGATTTTACTTTCTTGGGCTCCTTGATCACTGCAGATGGCGACAGCAGTCATGAAATTAAAAGACGCCTGCTCCTTGGGAGAAAGGCGATGGCAAACCTAGACACCATCTTAAAAAGCAGAGACATCACCTTGCCAACAGAGGTCCGTATTGTTAAAGCTATGGTTTTCCCAGTAGTGATGTATGGAAGTGAGAGCTGGACCATAAAGATGGCTGATCGCCGAAGAATTGATGCTTTTGAACTATGGTGCTGGAGGAGACTCTTGAGAGTCCCATGGACTGCAAGAAGATCAAACATATCCATTCTGAAGGAAATCAGCCCTGAGTGCTCACTGGAAGGACAGATCCTGAAGCTGAGGCTTCAGTACTTTGGCCACCTCATGGGAAGAGAAGACTCCCTGGAAAAGACCCTGATGTTGGGAAAGATTGAGGGCACAAGAAGAAGGGGACGACAGAGGACGAGATGGTTGGACAGTGTTCTCAAAGCTACAAACATGAGTCTGATCAAACTGCGGGAGGCAGTGGAAGACAGAAGTGCCTGGCGTGCTCTGGTCCATGGGGTCACGAAGAGTCGGACACGACTAAACGACTAAACAACAACCAGAAGATGGTGCTATTTTACAAGGATGGACTGTTTTTTCGACCTCTCTCTCTCTTTTCTCTTGTTATAACTGTGTGCCAGACAGCCATTTTTGTGTCCCTGCTTTCTTCCTGTACTGGGACTGCAAGCTGCTCTTTTGTTCGTGCACATCTTTAAAGTTACTCAAGCAGCTCTGTGCTCTTAAACACATGCCAACAAACTTGCTGGAGTGAATAGAGCAGAGGAGGAAGAGTGGCTCAACAGTGAGGATTAGAGACATTGCAAGAAATTAATGAATACAAATATTTGAACCCTATATTTAGATTTTGAGTTGCTGGTCAGCCTAGCACAGCATTGTCTGCTCTGACAGGTGGCAGCTCTCAGATGGAGTTGTCATACCACCTGAAATCCTTTCATTTGAAGATGAGATTGCGCCTAGGACCTTCAGAATCCACTGAGTAATGAAGCCTCCCATCATGTAAAGGTTGACGCCTGTTAGATAAGATGCTAATATTTGCACTAAAAAAATGGAGCACTGACAAGGGCAGGACACAGGAAACAGTGTAGATTTCAGGTACTAATTGTACAAAAGACAGCTTGTATGGACATTTTGACATCCACCTTCTTTATCCACGAAAAGGATTCTGGTATGCATTCAAGACCCAACCTAGATGAATAGGGAGGTAGGCCTCGAGGTGTAACACAACATCAGGTTAGAAATCCTATTCTTAAGATATCCACGGACTTTCATTCATTATTTTTGCCCTAGGTGAGTAAATTGTGAGGCGAATATCTTTGGCATCTGTGTGTCTCTTGGTTGCAAAAAGCCCTCTACAAATTATACTTTAAAGGTTGCCCTTTCTTGCAGGTGGATCTACTTGAATGATCAGAACTTATGCATCCCAGCCAGTTCTTCGTTTGTGTATGGAGCTGTGCCCATTGGGGCTAGTATCTATGTGATTGGGGATCTTGATACAGGTTAGAGTCTAAACAATATATCTTGTGTTTTTTTCCTTTATTGTATGTATTTGTTTCTCAGAGGACATACTGTAAGGCAGAGGTAGCTAATGTGCTCCTCAAGAGTTTTGCTACTTACATTTTTGGAGTACTGATAGTATGAAACTCTTTGGTGATTCCATGTTTAATTCTTTAGTTCTTTTGTAGCTTGTTCCACTTGCTTAAAATTAAATCCCACACTTAAAATATATAAGGCAGATTAGGGGAGGAGACTTCATTCATCACCTTTCTATCTGAGTGCCTTTTGGAGAGCAACCATGCTAAGTGTTTCACTTTAATGAACATTGTTGATGTGAAATTATAGCTGGGAAAGCAAATTATCTTGTTTTCACTTATTTAAAATAAGTATAACCTAGTTTTCTTTCTTTCTATTCTATCATGCATTTTGTTCTAATAAGCTTGACTTGTTCAACCAAACTGAGGGTAATTCGCTTTTGCCACCGATCCCTGTCTCTTTGAAAAAAGTAGCCATGTTAGTTCACTTCAGTAAAAATGACCATTCTGTGACATCTTAAGTAATTTGTTATGTAATTTGTCACTTGCAGTTCACAAAAGACTCATGTGATAAAGTTGACTCTGGTCAATGAAAACTCATTGCACAATAATGCGTATTCTGGGATTTCAAAGCACCATGTACTGCTTGAATTGCATTTATCTGCCTTGTTCATTTATCTGTTTTGGCCAAGGCCTTTTTTTGTATATTCAGAGCAGTTAATCTTGCCAAAGGATTAGGATATCGGCATTCTCTCATCAGCTTGGCAAGTGAGTCAACATAGGCTCCAAAAACCATCTGTTGGTCATGTTCAGCCTTTACTCATCCATCCAGTGTTTTCCTCACGTCTTTAAAAACAGTCACTGAAAACTAGGACATAAAAGGAAATTTTGAAGCCTTCTGCAGTATCACTGCTAAACCACTTGTCTGGCTTCTTCCCAAAAGACAAGCCCAAATGTCATCTCAAGAGCCAAAGGTGTCCATTAATGCTGCATTTGTTGCATCTTAGCCTTTTAGCATTTTGCTATAAAACCTTTTCAGACCTGTGCTATACAAACTTGAAGGGGGAGGGGTTTTTCTTTGGATTTAAATAGTTTATATGTTGCTAGCTCCTGTTCTTAAATGGTCCATCATTGAAATACCACATTCTGTATTCTCAAATAACATTTTACAACTAACAACTATCTCTTTCTTGGTATGTTTAGGGCACAGCAAATAGGGGAGGGGGTTGGGTAAAAAATGTCAGAAATAAATATATCCTTAATCTGCATATTTGCAATAGAGCCTTCCCATATAATAAGAGTGTGAGATGCAAAATGCATTTGTTTTTCAACTTGGTATTGCTTTGCATTTTTTTAAAGTGAGGGAAACCCAGTTTGGCAACAGGTTTCCATTTCGAATTCCACTGATGCTATTGAGTAAATCTTTTCCCATATGCTGTTTAAATCCCAAAGCTAAAAATATATTTCCTAATAGGTACCAATTACGATTATGTTCGAGAATTTAAAAGAAGCACTGGAACTTGGCACCATACTAAGCCACTCTTTCCATCGGATCTTCGCCGTACTGGATGTGCAGCTTTGCGTATAGCAAACTGCAAGCTTTTCCGGCTCCAGCTCCAGCAAGGATTGTTCCGCATCCGTGTTCCTTCTCCTTGAGAGAACTTCAGAAAACAGAGGAGATGGGAATAATTTGAGAGGCACTCCACCATAACAATATATCTTTATATAGAGGAGAAACAAACATCTTGCGGCAGAAACTTAAACTGTATGCTCGGCTTTGGTATGGTATCTGTCCTGTTTTTTTAACTGCTTAAATGCTTAAGCCTCAGCATTTGCTTTGGGGCAAGTCATTGTACATTGAGAAACATGGTTGAGGAGGTATCTTAAGTTCAGTTTATCTAAAGATACTAAACCATGCTATTGAAGCAGTTCCTTTGCTTCAAACCAGGAGGAGTGGATTAAAAAAATGAAACCTATTGAAATTGGGACGGTGGGGGAATCAGTAAGGGACATTTTCATCAAGGAGAATTGTTACATTGATAACACAGGAAATCCTGTATGAAAACCGATTTCACTAGTATGCCAAAAGAGACTGTTAACTCTACTGTGGAGAAAGATGGGCAGTTGCACCTTTTACTTCAAGGCCTTCCTGACAATTTAAGGCCTGTGCCTGAAAGGATAGAATTGTACATATGTCACTTTTCAGTGTGTTTTCACTCCTAATAATCTTTTTAAAAACATACCAGTATGTTTAAAATGGACTAAACTGAGCTAAAGATTTCAGTACAGTAGAGAACTGAGAGTGACACAGATTCTTTTGTAAATCTTGTGTACGTCAAATGATCTAAAATGGTGTGTCATATGTGGACCAGCACAAAGCCACATGCTGCAGTAACCACTCACTTGAAAAACAGTAAGTGAGGTTGGGTGGGTGGGTGAAGGCTGGGTTTTCCAGAATTGCCATGCTATTACTATCAGCGAGTTTACGCAGCACACAAATCTGATTCTGATTCTGATTATTTATTAAAGAGAAATACAATGAGTATTTTTCCAAACAACTTGAAAGTTGCTGCAGGTTTACAGGGCTGAAAACTTTAATACCTATACTAGTGCAAAAAGTGAGGAATGTAAAAGACTGATTTTTAACTTGTGGGGAGGGTGGGAGTGGAACTATTAAACAGTAATACATTTCAGACTTGCTCTGGAGAATTATATTGGGATCAAAAGCTGGTGTACAAATGACCTATTTCTAAGATATAGTCTTACTACTGAGTACTGTTGAACTTTAGAGTGCAGTTATAGTGAAGTATTTTTTTCTGGGTTTTTTTGTAACTTTTTGCTCACAAATAATAATATTTAATTGATAGCAATTTTTTGCTGGTAGAACACTGTTTACCTCACTACTGAAACTTTATTTTGTTACTTTGTTAGTGAAACACAATAATTTTAAAAAAGAAGAAATGGAAAAGGGCACAGTCTTGCACTACAACCTTTGCAAACTATATCCTTATAAGATTTAGTGCTTTACACTTTGGAAAGTTGTAGGACCTCAGCTGTGCCTGTTGCACTGCAGTGTTGCAGGGCCAGATGTTGCTCTTGTTTACGCTACCATAGACCCAGAGGGGTGCCTGCTGTCTTAGAAGGTAACACTGAAAGAGAAGTGACAACTAGTACCACACAACAATGCTGTATTAATTCTGTTGGAAGAGACACTCCAGAATCTAGGAAGTTTTGACAAGAGTAAGCACATTTTAAGCCTCATTTAGTTCAAGAGAAGAGATTTACCACGCAATTTTGTGCATGTCTACTGTGAAATAAGTCCCATTAAGTTCAGTAGGTCTTGCTCTTCAGTAACTGTGTTTAAAATTGCAGCCTTAAGCACATGCTCAACATGTCCACTGTTTGTTAGCTTGATCATGGCATTCGTTCTTAATAAGATAGGTCAATCATGTCACACTTACACAAAGAGTGTATTCTATGCATTTGTGCCATTGCGGATACAATTCAGAAATTGAAGTATCAGAATTCTGACTCTGCTCAGAGGTTACAATCCAAAATAACATTTGTCTTGACTCATGCAAGCAATGGAACCACAACTCTGCCCCACTCCCCAAACAGTGGGAGCTGAGAGATGCTTCTAAGTGCATTCATATAATACTATAAACTATTTTCTCGTCAACTTCAGAGGTTTTGCAGAAAATCCAATGGCTGCAATTCTCGAGTAAGCCACCCTCTTTTACAGTCTCCCAATTTTCCCTCTCAGCAGCAAGTGGCCAACTTACAGGGGTGCCTTGCAAGACGAAATTAATTCGTTCTGCGAGTTTTTTCGTCTTGTGAATTTTTCGTCTTGCGAAGCACGGTTTCCCATAGGAATGCATTGAAAATCAAAAAAGGCTACCACACCTCAAAAACCTCAAAAAAGGCTACCACACTGCGTGCTATGAGTTGCTCCTCGAAGTCAAGTCGCAACTGCACCTCTTCAAGAAATGCACCCTGGGTACAGTATTAACGGTTTTAAGAAAAAGGAAACAAACTTGCAAGACGTTTTCGTCTTGCGAAGCAAGCCCATAGGGAAATTTGTCTTGCGAAGCAACTCAAAAAATGAAAAACTCTTTTGTCTTGCGAGGCATTCGTCTTGCGAGGCATTCGTCTTGCGAGGTACCACTGTATTCTGTAGCAGCTACTTATTCCTTACAGGCAGCTATTCCCCACCCCGTTATGGTTTGTGCTTTTGTGTTGAGGGATTCTTCACATATTTTCAGGCAGAACAAAGGACTAGCGAGGGATAATCTTGAGTTGCTTATGATCCTATTGGGGTGGCAGCATAGGGAATTTGCCAGATAGTTTCCAACTGAATCCTTACCTGTGTGTTGTCCTCCCTTTGGAGTTAACTGAGATGCACTCCAGTCTAAACATCTGGACCAAAGAAGACCAGTTTATGTACAAAAGTAAGAGGGAAACAACTGACAAAAGGGGGAGATGTGTCTATTGTTTGCTTAGCTTGTGAGAAGCTGGTTCATTAGAGGTGATTATGAGTTTCGTTCATGAGTTATGCTCTTTCGGGTGGAGTTTTTGGTGTGTTTGCAACTCTGCCCTCTTAAATTTGCTTTCTGCATGTCTGTCCCTTTGGAAGTTAACAACTGGGAAGAGTGCAGGAGTGGCCCAACCACTCTAAGGAGCCTTTCCTTTCCATGGCCCAAGGCTGCCTGTTTCGCCAAGTAGCAGGGAACATCCTAATTCAGCCTTCTCTAATCCAGTGCCATCCTCGCAACTGTTTTGACCTACACTCCCCTCATCCTTGACTAGCTACCACAGGGTGATGTTTGAAAGTTTAAAAATCTGGAGGGCATCAGGTTGGAGAGGGTTGCTAATTGTTCGGAGAGGCTGTCCTTGCCCTGTCCGTGTTTATAATAGTGAAATTCTAGTGCACCTTACTAAGGAACAAAATTCCATACAGTGAATCTTGTGAGGAGTAATCTTATTTTGATTTCGCTAACATTTAAAATAAATAAATAAATGCAAGGTTCTTGTTGAAAGAGAAACTGAAAACATAATTTATAATGTATTCCTAAGGAGGATATCTTAGTCTTCTTGCTTGTGAGCTGCTGCACAGGAAATATTTAGGGTGAGATGCTGCTACTGCTATGTATTGCATTGTTAAAGCACACTTAATTGCAGAATACAGCCACTCAAACCAGCATTGACAAAAAGCTGTTGGGTACATGTAGTTGAACAGAGGGGCAGCATCTGATTGGGAAGTGACTAGTAATGAGTTGCATACACGGGTACTGTATTGACAGTCACTGCAGAGCAATTAAGTCAGTGCAATTTTAGGTACCTAATATTTGGTTTTGAGCTTTTCTAGAAGAACTTGCAGCTGATGAGTTAGTACAGTAGGACTAACTGGTCTCATTTGCCAGCCTTGGGATCCTACAGTTAGCTACACAAGGAAAAGCTTCTCTATCTACCATCATGGCCATGTCTGTAGAATCATTTTGCCAACTTGGATCTTGGAACCAACTAGATGTTGTGACAGCAGACCTGTGTGCTGGAATTGGATTGCTGCCTCATAAAGCAGTGTTGTAGCAGCGACTTAAAGCTGGTGGGAGTGAGGGCGGAAAGTAACCTGCCCCCACCTTTTCTCCCCTCTTTCACCTCTCTCTCTCTCTCTCTCTCTCTCCCTCTCTCTCTCTCTGTATTTCTCCTAGGGAGAAGCAATTTCAAGGAGAAAGGCATTGGAAAAAGGGTCCGTTTTCTACTTGTGGCACTACCATTTCTAGTTTTGGTCCCTTAAAGACTAGGGTGCAGGTTCTGTTTATTCCACTGGACCCTGCACAGAATAATATCCAATCCTTGGTTTTGAGTTTAGCATATGTTGCCTGCACTACCAATGATGGCTTGATCTGTGGCTTTGGTTGCATAGCAACTATTTATGCTTCATTTTGATTGTGAAGTAAGCCTTAGTTAGCATCGTGCAATAGGTGTGCTTCTGGATGTAGATCAAAACTACTTGTTTATCTTATGCAAACTCTGCTTTATGTTCAGTTTGGAAAGAGCAATCAAAGCCTGTTGAAAATCTGATTGGAATCACCTCTGAGATCCTGGTTTAAAATACAGTTATAATCAATTTTATCTTCACAATTTTAAAAGTTAAGTGGAGAGAATATGAGCCACATTCTGCAAAGATTGGGATGTATATCAGAATCCTTAAAGAGACAGCCAGTGGTACAAATAGGAATATTTATTTATTTGTTACCGTTTCTCTCCTCGATACTTTTGTCAATATAAAGCTTCTGAAAGCATGGAGCCTGCATTTGTTGCACATAATGCAGTATGCAATAACGAAAATAAGTGCCAAGAGTTCTCTTTATACGCAGGTATTGTGGATCTCATCCGTTAAAGCACAGGGATGTTTAAGACCTTGAGCTGCAAAAAGAATGGTGGAATTCTTTAGTAAAGAAACTTTGCACATCTTAGAACTGTTCAAATCAAAGTTCTGCAGGGTCTTATTATTTTGTCTTAATTTATACTCCAAAACTGCCTCAGAAAACATCGCTGCCTGTAGGGCATATGGGCACTCTACTGCCCCATTGGTATTCTAGTGCCATGCATTTAAATAGTAAATGGCAGCTGACCATTTTTATTTTTAACTTCATATAAATATTTATAAGTGTGAACTTGATCCATTCCCTGTGGGTGTATTTGGACTCATGGGAAGGCATCATCATAGGTCTCGTTGCAGCCTGCTTCTCTCCATCTCCTTTCCATGTGCTCTGCAGCATGCCAGCAGTCGCTCTTAATGACAGCCTGTTACTCACAATGAGTATTTCATGGCCAGGGCCCTTAGAAGAAGAGAGATGTGGCTGGATGTGTATGTGAGAGCTGCATACAGGACTCTCATTGCAAGTTATGGCTGAGAGCAGCAGTCCACATACCCCAAGGAAGAGTGAAAAAGAAGAGAGTCCTTTGTTGATCCCCGTGTCAGTCCCCTCCTGAATCTGCAGCTCTTTCCACTGGGCAACAGATCATGTCCAGTGCAATTTATTTTAACTGCTTTTGCTTACAGAAGGAAAGTTGCACATCTCAGGTTCTGTAACGCTAAATGTGAGTTACCATAAAGGGGCAAGAAGTACTGATCAACTATAAGATTCATGGACCTCATGATGAGTATACATCATTGTGCTTCTCCCCTAGCCTGATTGTTAGACATTAAAAATGCTTCCGAAGCGTTCTGGCATATTTGGAGATGGGGTCGTGTCTTGTTTTTATTTATTTTATTTATTTATTGGCCTTGGTATTCTACTGCAATATCAGTAGGAGCAGAAATGAGGAACTGAAAAGAACTGCAATTTGTTCTTAATCCTAAATTAGCCTGTTATTAACTTGTTAACATTATGAAATTGTCAACATTTAAAATAGTTTTGAGGTATTTTTCTTCTAAAGAAGCCTCAATAGTAAACAGGAAGGTAGGATTTTTAACTGTTACTTAACTTATTTTATCAAGTGCTCTATATCCAACTGTAAAGGACAGGTGTAAAAGTACACCTTAAATTACAAATGTTTTACTTGCTGTGGGTGCAGTCCAGAGTCATTAAAGTCGGTCTTCCGTTTGACCATCAACTTGATATGCATAGGATTTTAATGTTGTGGTCTTTGCCTTTTTATTGTAAAATCATACTGACTGATTTTAAAGTCTTGGTTGGTTTTGAAAGTTTGTTAACTAGGAATGAAAGTGTAGCTGCCCCTTCTGAGTCCATACCTAACATACACTAGATTCTCCAAATAAAACATTCCTCATGCTCTTTGTTAGAATTCACCATTTTAATACTGCTTTGGCTGATGTAACTATTTAGTGTGTTTGAATCACCTGGGGCAAACTAGGCAATGCCAGTTATCATTGGCATTTAATGCTGCAATCCCATACGCCCTTACCGGGGAGTAAGCCCTGTTGAACACTGTGGGGCTTACACCTGAGTTGACATGCACAGAATTGCACTGTAAGTATTCTTGCTGGATAGTTAATGTGTTAAGTGGGTATTTCTCTATAAGGCGGCCTGTGGGTTCCCTTTAATACTCTTAGTAACACAAAAAGGAACAGTTACTTAGCTTAACAGGAAGAAGATTGCGGAGTGGCATTTTTTCTTCTGTTATTTCTTTAGAAGCTAGCAGAAGGCCCATCATTACAGTGGTGGTGTGTGTGTGTGAAAGTAGGCTTTGCATATTCCAAAGGGTGCAGAGCACATAGATGTTGAATCCTGCCAGGAATACAGTGTGCAGGACACCCAGAAGAGAGGTTTTGGTGTTACTGTGCCATTATCCCCAAGTGAAGAGGCTGATGCTCTTCTACTTCTCTGTTCCAGCTGCCATCCAGACCCTCTGAGTCTCCATCACTTACCAACCCCTCTGCAAAAAAAGGGGAGAGGGCAAGACCCCTTCCATTTCCATTAACCCAGTTGTGTTATATCTAGTTTGTTAATCATCTGAGACTAAAAAGTGGTTGGATATAAATAAGCTGAAAAGCTATAGTTAGCTGTACAGTGTAAAAATGAAATTCAGCATTCTGCTCCATATCATGTTTTGATTTCAACTGCACTGAAGTAAAAATTACTAGTGTTATGTCATAGCTTGAATTTTTACTATTAACTATAGCAAAATAAAACAACCAACAGGCTAAAGCAGGAATTTCCAGCCTTTGCTTCTCAGGAAAAGCAGAACGATTGCCTAACATGTGTGCAAAGACAACCTTTGCTTACCCTGTGTGGTACAATCAGTTGTGTTTTTGTTCTGCTTGATACCAAGAGCCTTGTTCTATTCTTTAAAGGTGCTATTTTGACATAACTATTGAATTCTTTAACACTGTGCTTGAAAAAATCGAATTGATCCTTTACTTGAATGTTAGCTATCAATTGATGGTGAGTGGTTGCTCCTTTGTTCTTTCTTAGTTGAGGTCAGGGAAATTGTCCATATTTAAGGTACAACTTTTCTCTGTGAACAGCCTGTATACTGTCCATACTTACACCCTTCATGAAATAAAATAACTGCCCTTCACTGAACAATAGGCTTTTTTATCTAAGTATTGCTGTAAAATGTTGAAGTTTTCAATTTACATGGGGACTCTTTCCTCATGTATCTCATTCCTGTGAAATAGTTTTCTTGAGTTGCATCCAGTTCCCAGGAGGTGTCAGATAAGTACGAAACATTTACCTGATTGATTCTTTTTTTTAAAAAGTTACTTTGAATCCACTGTACCTTCCTCTTGTAAGCTTTTGAGAAGTCCTATACCATTTCACTAACTATTAATCATGGAAAGTTAAGCTGCCCATCCCCAAATACAGTGAAGGTAGGGTATTAAAGAGAGGCAAATTGAATGTTTGTGAAGTTTTCTGAACTTAATCAATGGGGGAAGGAACATGCCCAGAGCAGTTTCAGGCAGGTTGATTTTGGTGGCAAAATTATTCCCCACCTGCTTCCCCCTGTTTGCATAATGGCCCCACTCTGTATTGAAGCCAACTGTGGCTGCTCTTCTTAAAAAGGAGAAAGGGCAGGCCAACAATGACTTGTCTCTTTTGGAGGAAGTTGAGTGGAAGTTGTGCCTGTTATGCCTGTTATGCCTAGTTGAGGAAGGGGGAGGCTTTTGTAGAGGTAAGATAAAAGCAGGCAGCAATACTTTAGGTTCCCTTCCCAATTTTGGTGACAGTGGAGAAATATGAATATAATCTTCCATGCCATTTATGATCTCCCTGGGTAGGCTTGGTGTGGGGAAAACCTTTCAGTCATTCATTATTATTATTTTTAACCAGATGTCATAACCATCGGGGTGAAAAACACAATACAGTTAAATCGATTGCTTCTTTGTCCTCAGGTTGTCCTTGCAATTTCACTGCATCAAGGCAAGGCTGCTATTTTAGTAGCTTTCTTATCATTGCCTGATAAGAGAGAGAAAGAAAAAGAACGTAACATGGATCAATAATTTGTTCATGTGTTCTGAACCCTCTTAGTGGAGCCTCTCATTTATTGACACCTCTCTGACTAAGTTTTTTGTTTTGTTTTTGCACTGGGATTTGAAATTTTGTTTTTATCAATAATAATTATACTGTAGTTTGTCTTCTTCAAGCACAGATCCATTCCGGGCTGCCACAGGAAACCCCACCAGTTGGAGGCTGCTTCATATTTTGGCAGGATGTTTCCCATCAGATCTGTATTTCTTCAGTGTAGGTTTGGTTTGCTCTATGCCAGGGGTAGGCAATCACCTTCTAAATCCGGCCCGCAGACGGTCCGGGAATCAGCATGTTTTTACATGAGTAGACTGTGTCCTTTCATTTAAAATGCACCTCTGGGTTATTTGTGGGGCATAGGAATTTGTTCATATTTTTTTTCAAAACTTGGTCCGGCCCACCACATGGTCTGAGGGACAATGGACAGGCCCACGGCTGAAAAAGGTTGCTGACCCCTGCTCTATGCTGTAAGGCTGCCTGCTATTCTGAGCTACACATTTGCATCCATCCAACCATTGGATACAAAAATGAAATGTCCTCAGACTTTTCTAGTATTCAGGATGTCATAGCAAAAAGACAGACTGTGTGGTTTAATTTTTTTTTATAGAGAATATGGGCCCAATTTAATGATAAATACATGCATGTAACAAACCTCCAATAGATCTCCACCCTCACCCATTTTCAGGGGAAAAAGTTTTGGTAGGGCTTAACATCTTCCCTACCTATCATTTATCTGCCTTTCCAATTCTCCTCTCCGCCAGGCAGCTGTGTATTTTTGGGGGGGGTATTGAGTGTTTGCATGTGTTTTAAATGCAGCATCTAATTCAACTCTCTCTTTTCCAGTTGGAACTTAAGATGTTTATTCAACTTTAGAAAGACCTACTTACATTATCTTTATAAGCTAATGCCAACTTATAGCAAATTCAGGTAAATCTCTTGTTTCCTATACAAATCCATAGTGGGCAAAACTATGACAAGAACTGTATGCAAGAGGAAGTTAGTAAACCATAACCACCTCTCCACCTTCTTGTTCAGCTCAGCTATGCAACTTTTGTTTGTATGCTCTTCTGAAAGGACTATGCAGACAAAAGAGAGCAACAACCTCTAACTTCTCTGTAAATACCTGTGCTAAGAAATGCCTTCTGCCTCACCTCATTTGGCTATTTAGCATCTCCAGTCAAAGTGATTAGTCCAGATTTGGAAGGGAGTTGGTTTCTTGTTTCTGCTGAAATGCGTTCAGAAATGCAGAGGGGCGGGCAGGCATACTGGCTAGTGGGTTTTTTGTGTGTGTTCCATTTACCTCTGAGCAAGTATTTCATGTCATTTGTCGTGTTTGAGCTGCTTCACTGTTTCACTTAGCACAAATGAAACTAATTGTTTTTTGTGGTCTCTTGTTAATCCAAAAATTGCCTTCCAGAGAAAGTTGTATGCATATAAGCTTTGTTGAAATAAATGGGAGAGCTCTGTTTTTAACCCTGTATTTATAGCAACATTTGTTTCAACAGGACTTCAGTGCAGCTAATTTTCTGTGGATTGTGCTCACAGCTTTCTTTCAATGAGCTCAAAGAGAACTTAGATTTAAATATCATGTTTCTCTTCTTAATTGAAAAATGCATTAGATACTAGGATTTTAAATGTAGTTTGACTCTGTATAGCCAAGCCAAAAGGTAATTATACATTTCTTGTTCTTCCGACACATCCACAGTGTGTGTTAACAGAAATGCAGGTTATTTAAGGAAACATACAATTTTTGTACTTTGTCAAAGTGGCCTTTTTAGAGGAAGCACACAGTACATTGATTAATGTTGTGTAGCTGTATAATTTCAGAGGAACTTTTTTCGTATTGTATTGACAGAATTTATATACATTTTTCAAAATAGTATGCTCTTTTGTTTAGAAGTGTGTAGACATAATGGGCAAAATCCAAAATACTCCATTCCACAATTCCCATCATTATATATTTTGCTTGGCTCTGTATATGTTGTGGGCAACCCCACAGTCCTCAGAGGCATGTGTATTCTCTAAAGACTATTCCCTAGTAGTGAAGGGAATGGACCAGCTCCTTCCTCCCATGCAATATGAGACTTACAAAGTATCAGGGCTGTTGGATGTCTATGAGAATGCTGTTAACTCCATCCACTTAGTTTGTATATTCACAATATTAAGGTAGTGAACTGTAGACATGAAGTGCAGCTTTAAGACCCTAGATGTACAGAACAATCTCGTAAATGTATGCTGTCTTCCATTGGGGGAAGAAGAGAGATTCATAGCTTCAGAGTTGTCAGACGCAAGCAATTTGCAAAGATAAGAAGTTATCACTACACATAACCAGCCTGGGGGATGCAGGCCACTCCCAGCTTTTGAGACTCCTGGCCATAAAAATAAAATAAAATGATGATACACAAAAACAAAATAAGGCACCAGAAATAGGAATTGAGTATAATGGGGGGGGGTGTATTTAACAAATGTTTTTCTATCCTTTTTAAAATTCATGATACTTGGTTCTTGATGTTTATGGCTGACCTGCTGAATTTCCAAAAACTTTATTTTTCTTGCCATAGCTGCTGCTTGTAATTGCCATCTTGACAGTTAACATGAAAAATCCAGAAATTTTAATGGTATGAGAATTGGAATCAGACAAAATTATCTATGCATATATTCTGGTGGTTAGTGCTCAGTTTGCTTTCGTCTATGGATTCTACAAGATAGCATTAGGGGAAATGTTGGCAAACTGAATAATTGGAAGAGTCATACAAGAATAGGTTTCTGGGTTGGATTTTAAAATGGGATGTAAATGTCCCTTAAGTTATTTATGCAGTTCCACTGGAGTGTTTGCAATGCTAAGTAAGGCCTGTAGATTGCCAAAAATAATAGCAGTAATAATATTAATACCCTTGATGTTGTTGATGCTAATTCACAATTCTCTGCAAACCATAAGGGGAGTCAGTGTTTACTAGTGGACCTCCAAGATCACTTTTGTTTTGTCAGCTCAGTCAACTGGGTTTGTTCAGATATCATATGTCTCCACAAGACTTTCCAGGGAACCCCCTCCTGTGCTGAATAGATGGTGCAGAAGATGAAACCAAACCAAGATGTGCAGATATGGCTAGAAACTACATTGAAAGCTATTGTGTGGAGTCAGTCCTGAGCTAGCAGGCCCAGTGCTCCAGACTTGGACCTGTAGCAACTTTCCCATCTTGGGCTCAGTTGTTTTTTTCTAGCCTCTCTAGCCAACATTTCACCTTACCACATCTGCATCTACATACAAAGCCAAGCAGAAGCAGCTTCTTTTTTAAAAAGAAATGTTTTAAAAAAGTTAGTGGCATGCTGCTGGCTGTGTTTTTTATTCCTTCCTTACCCTTTGTATTTCAGCTATCAGTCAGTGCTGGTGAGTATAATATATTTACTCTGCTGTCGGTGTCCCCTGGCTCCCTCAGTCATGGGACAGAGCCCATTCCCATGGCTGCTCTTCCCATGAATGACAAAGTGATTTTAAGCTTCCAGCAGGTTCTTGGTAAACTCATATGGCATCTGAACAAATCCATCGTTAAGTATGCATGGCTTGTTTTTTCCTGATTTTGTTGTGTAAGGGATCCCGCATCTCTTGCTAGTTGGGGAGGGGGTTAAATTTTTTTTTTTAATGTAAGAACAGCTGAAGTTGGGCAAATTTGAATGTTAAGCATGCTAACTTGTACGGTTATGTTTGAAGAAAGAAAAACGTGCAATTCTGAAGGCACTTTGTGATCAGTTTATGAAAAATGGGCTTTGCAATGGAACATATGATATTAATGCGTAATTAATAAGTAGTGTTGTCTTTGCTATCTGTATATCCTTCTCAAGTGTTTTGTCTATGCCTCTTTTTTAAAAAAGTTGTGCTTCTGAGAAATCTTGTTCAACTTTGTTAATTAGCTAAGAAAAAACAGTGGCTGTGATTCAATGTGATGCGCACACGTAACACTTAAGTACAGGGGTTTCCCCCATTCTTTGACCAGTGGAATTCTTTGCTCCCAGTGGGAAATTGCCTTATACTCGTAATGTGTTTCTCTTCCTAGAATAAATATAGATGTAACATTTGAACTGAGATCACAAAAGGTCTTTCACCTGTATCTTAATCTTATCTAAAGCAAAACTACAAATATTTCATGAACAGCTGCAGTATTGCTACAGTGAATTTGTGGGTAAGAAAGGAGTGTGTTGGTGACATCTCAACTACTAGCCAATTGGCACTGTTCACCTAGGACTTTTCTGTGTGCACCTGCCCTGGGATGGGAAAAGTTTTATGCTTGGATTGTTCGGATGCTCCCAACCCTCCTCTTCCATAAAAAGAGCCATGTTGGATTAGGCAGCAGCCTGTTCTCACAGTGGCCACCCAATGAGAAATCTGTAAGCAGGACATGAGTGTGATGCACTCTCCTACCTGTGTACCCTTGCAACTGGTATTCAGAGCAATACTGCCTCCAACAGTGGAGATAGAATATAGCCATCAGGGCTAGTAGCCATCGATAGCCTTAAATTGATATACACACACGCTCATTGCTCTGCAAAGTTTACGTCAGCCTTCAGTCATCAAAGAGAATCCAGTCTGTGAATCAGAGTTTATGGGGTGTTGGATCATGCTAAATATCTGAGTTTGTTTGCTTTAGGATCATTTTCACATGTCCTTTGTCCATCAGTCTGTTTTCATGGATAGCCTTGCATGGCAGGCATTTAAAAATTACAATTCCTTCATTCTCGTTGGTAATACTTTTGAGGTTTACATATTCTAAAGATGCAAAAAAGGGATACAAAACAGTTCTTGGATTAAGTAGCACTTTGTTTACATGTTCAGTATAATGTTGGGCAAGTAAGGGTCTTTTATTTTTTATTTTAATTTAAAGCACATAGATTGTGCTCCAGGGGCTTTGTAGCCACTGTGTGTAAATTTGGTGTAATGATGTTTTAAGGACAGGTGAAAGTGTGTGATATTTTTTAATGTAGTTTGTATTGACCGGGTTTTATAAAATGTAAGAAAAAGAGTGTTGTATTTTGACCTGAAATCTGTGTACGGTAAAGTCACTTTGCTTTATGTATTGGAGGTTTGTTGAAAACTTGAACTATTTTATAGAAGGGTGCAGACCAAAATTGAATTGTCTTAAAGTTGAACTAACCAAATAAACATTTTATGGTTTGCGTACATTTATTGCCTCTTGCATTAAATATTTTCTTTCTTTTACTAAAAAAAAAAATACAGTTGAAAATAGTCTTGAAATGAAGCTGAAGTTATGTAGAGAGCCACCCTGATCATGGAAAGAGGGGATGTAGAATCAATTTGGTACAGAGATGGCCAGCATCTGTCTTCTTAGAGACGAGTTTTGATATTTTCAATTACTTGCTCTGGGAAACGGAAGTGTGCTTTGCCTCTCAATCTCCTAAAGCAGGACTGGGGAACCTGTGGCCTTCCAGGTGTTAATAGATTCAAGCTCCCATTGGCATCAGCCATCATGGCTAATAGTGGTGGGAGTTGGAGTCCAGCAACATCTGGAGGGCTACAGCTTCCCCAACCTGTCCTAAAACCTATATAATCAAGTCAGCACCACTAATTATAGGTATGTCATGGTGGCCACAGCGTTACATAGAAAACTTGCAGATTAATCTATTTATAAACAGCAGCCCTGCAGTCAGTTGACAGCCTGAATTCAAACCCTATCAAATGCAACCTTTCCTTTGTGGGTAAAGATGGGGAAATGGTCAATAACCATTTAAGAGCAAAAAACTGCTGCACTTAACAGTAGCAACCAACATTTATCCATCAGGATGCTTTTTATCAGCAGGAAAGGCTGAACATTATATCTTGGAAAAAGGGTAAGAGTCCGTTCCCTAGAGCTCAAATTCCCACTGACCCAGCTTTCCTGTTACAGTACAGCTGAATTATTTTAGGAAAATGGAGTGTGGCCGTGTCTTGCTTACACTTGTAAGCAAAATAAAGGTTTTACCCCTCAAACCAAGTTCCTGAAATAACCTGTGTGAAGCAGCATTGATATGCAGGATATTCGATAAAATTACGACACTAATGTTTAGTGCTGATTTCCACTGATATCTCAACTCTCCATACACACACAATTTGAGACATACAGTACTGTTGCTTTGTGTGTTCACAGTTGTGTGTGCATTGGTGAGGGAAAGAAGTTACAGTGGCCCAAAGGGTCGGTGCATCTGGCTGTTTACCAGACCGTTTGGTTGTACGAGCCAACCCAGGGAAAACTGGGGGCAGGATTGGTGCGTTGCAGAGGATTGGATTAGATGACCCTTAGGGTCTCTTCCGATGCTACAATTCTATGATTCTCCATCCCACAAAGATCCTTGCTTCTTGAACAGGAACCTTCTGCCACTCCACTTCACAGGAAATTACAGGAGTGGTGAGCTGTGTGCGTTCACATGATACCAGAAATATTTAAATCTGGGCATTCTCAGAGTGTATATCTCTTACTATTCTTTTGTTATTATTTCCTGTGATCCAGAACCAATCCTGAATTTTTTTGCATAGCAGTTAAAGCAATTAAAAAATGTTGTGGCAATTAAGACCATAAAAAGACACTGCCTTTTCTTCCATTACTGTGCTTTGATCTATGAACTGGGGCCTATTGATTCCACCTCCTCAAGATGGCACCAGAGCTCAGCATCACTGAATGCAAACCTGGGACCCAAGCAGCCATTACTCTGCTGTAGAAATGAGATGAGAATAATCTGGGGATTACATGTGGATTTTGAATAGATAGGGTTGTTTGGCATGTCAGGTGTTTAGCAGGAAGTTTCCTTTCAATGAATGGTTAGTGCAGGGGTAGCCAACATGTGCCCTCCAAATGAAGTTGGCCTACAGGTCCTGTCAGACCAGACCTTTGGCCATGTTGGCTGAGGCTGATGGGAGTTGGAGTCCAACAACACATAGAGTCCACTGCATTGGCCTCGCCTGGGGTAGTGTATACCTGTGAGATCTCGGTCAGCAACTGATTTTGCCTGTGGCTTGCTTTGACAAGGAAGTGGAAGCTTGCAGAACATGGCCCTTTGCCCAGCCTCAGAGTGGTCTGCCACCAGGTGGCATTGCCACAGAAGTTGCTCTACCATGCTTACCTTTTGCTTCTCAATTTAGAAATGATGGCTAGGGGACCACATGCACAATTCTGGTGGCTGGTTTGGCCCAAGAAGCTCCCCACATTGATATTTGTGGAAGCACGAAGACTCATGGTAGTAATTACCCCTGAACACCTTTCAAGCATTCAGATGTCCCAGATATCAGGAACCATGTTTCCAAGGCCTCTTATTTCCAGTTACAAAAAGTTTTCATGGAATTTGAGGGTTAAAATATTACATTGTTTGCCACGTGTTCATTCTGCACATGTGTGAGCAATTGGTATCTGTTTCCACCTGTAAAATGTGTGGCTAGTTGAGTAAGAATGTGGAGGTACACATTCAAACGCTGGAGGGACAGACTGCATAAGAATTATGATGCAGTTGGTTTCAGCCAGTGATGTACACATACTGAAGTCTGCCTAGATCTCCATATTTGGGATCTCCAGAGACTCCGGGTTCTTTCAAATCTAAATCTTTTTGCAATCAAAATCTAAACAACAACAACAAAATAATGGTAATTGAATGGTGGCGACAGACCTTTTTGTAATGCAATGGAACTGTTAAATGTGCATGCTTTCTCCTTAAAACAAATGCATCTCGAAAAAAACAACAAATGCCTCTGAATGCTGCAAAGGTGTGTCCTAACTGGAATATAGGAAACTGCTTAATACCAAGGCAGTCAATTTTTTGCACGTAGCTCAGCATTGCCAACACTGACTGCCAGTGGCTCTCCAAGGTTTTACACAGGAGTCTTTTCCCAACCCTACATGGAGATTGAAACCTTTTGCATGCAGAGCATGTATGTACCACTGAGCTTCCACCACACCTTAGACTATGCACCTGTCATTTGCCCAGATCACCAGGCACTAGTTAAAAGCATAGCCGCCCTCTTCCCTTTGGGCAAAAGCAACCATTTTGTCCATAACATATGAGCTGAAAGTTGCACGACACGGACAAGTTTGAAGGAATGTGATGTGCCCATGAAGAGCTTTGTGAAACCGCTGGTGTGGAAATTGCCCGTGGGTCGTGATGGAGAAATGGTTTCTCCCTCTTTCCTCCGCCCCTCTCGCCTTCTCTGCCTCTCCAGACAAGTGAAGAAGAAATGTGAATGAAGGGGATGAATGGAAAGAAACGAGGCAAAGCTCCTTTTGACATGAATGAGAGAGACTTGGGAGTTGTCTAAGGACAGGCAAGCTGCGTCTGAGCTTCCTTTCAACATGTGAGGAAGTGGGCCACAGTCTTCTGCACGTGGAGTTGCTGCAGCTAGAGCGATGCACTCCCTGTAGCCCAGATCCTCATTCTGACAGGATTTAGCATTTCAAAGCACAGTGTTGAATTGCAAGTCCCGCCAGAGGCTTAAAAATAGCTTTATGGTTATTTATAGAAGCCACACAGCTATTCTGCTTGGGTATCCTGATAGGGATTCCATGGCAGGGAGTGGGGGAGAAACCCTTTCCCCCCTCCCCTTCTCTCAGTCCCAACAGCCTGTATAGGAAATGATGGGGCGGTTTTGAGGTTTTGGCTTGTGCATCTTCTCAGCATCTTTTTAGACAGAGGACTGCAGGTCAGAGACAGTGAGGGGTAAACTCTTTGGCCTTCCTTTCACTTAGGTCTTGTGAAATTCCTCCGAGAGGCTGCCAAAACCATAATCTTCTAACATTTTCTCAGTGAGGTGTCCCTTTTGTAAATGGATGCGCTCTACTTACAAAGGTCTCATTCACAAAGAGGTCTCATTCACAAACAGGTGACAAATTTCCTTCTTATTTTTAGTCAAAGTCTTTATACATCCCTTCTCCCCCATAAGCCCTTCTCTGTGTGCCACCCCACACCCAATATGTTTGGAAGGTGGCAACAATAAAACAGACCTGTTCTGTGGTAGCCCCTCGCGGATGGAATGCTCTTCCGGGGAAGGTCGTCTGGCAATGACTTTTGCCATCCATCTGGCTAGGATATTTTTGTTCTTACTTAGCTTGTGCACAGATCCGACACTGATGGCAACCCTTTGGCATCCACTGCCTGAGGAGACATCTTTATGTTACTTCTAAAGCCCCAAACTGGGAGAGAGGCTGCAGAACACGTTACTTCTCGGGGCATATACAGGAAGTTTGGAGCAAGCACAGCTGGCTAGGATGTTACACTATTTCTGTGGAAATTAGCTCATTATTTGGCTGTTGATTATCTTTTCCTGGGATCTGACCAATGCTTAAATTGCATTATTTCATTTTTTAAAGGGGGGGGACATTGATTTTCTTTTTTATTAAATCACACATACACAAAAACAGTGAGTGAGAAGTTATGCACCCCTTTCCTTTGGGGTCCAATAATAGCAACAATGATCAAGTTTGTAGTTCCGTGTGTGTGTGTGTGTGTGTTCCCCACCCCCACTCCGTTCCATGTTCTTCCTTTGATCATCTTGAAAGAGAAAAGGACAAAAACTCGATGATGAAATGATCACTAGAGCAGAAATGTCAGCATGTCCCTGGCTCCTTTTTTAAACTTCTTATTACGAATGGAAATCCAAATGGTAAGATAAGAACATTTTACTTACTGATTTACTTACTTACTTATTTCCTTACTTACCTATTGCATTTCTATCCCACTATTTTCTCCAAGAAGCTCAAGTACATGGTTTGCTCTCTTTCTCATTTTAATCCCAACATTAGGCTGAGAGACTGTGACTGGCCCAGGGTTACCCAATGAGCTTCATGGCCAAGTGGGGATTTGAACCCTGGTCTCCCAGGACTTGGTCCAACACTCTTACCACTATACCACATAAGAAGAGCCTGATGGATCAGGCTGATGACCCATCTAGTCCAGCATCCTGTCCTCACAGTGGCCAACCAGATGCCCATAGGAAGCATGCCAGCAGGACCTAAGCACAAGAACCCCGTCCCTCCTGCGGCTTCCAGCAACTGGTATTCAGCAGCAGACTCCAGTGCCTCCAGCCAGAGAGACAGGGTATAGATGGCTTGTGTAAGTGAAATAGAAGCAAAACTCAGATTGCAGTTGGGGCGCATTGTGTAACTGCCCACATTTTTAGAAGCGAGAGCAGCACAAGGGAGCACTTTGCAATACCCCTTCAGGTGTAGGTTGCTAAGGGCTAAGGGCTCTAGTTATCTCCTGCTTGGACTACTGCAATACGCTCTACGTGGGGCTACTTTTGAAGGTGACCCAGAAACTGCAGTTAATCCAGAATGCGGCAGCTAGACTGGTGACTGGGAGTGGCTGCCGGGACCACATAACACCGGTCCTGAGAGATCTGCATTGGCTCCCAGTACGTTTCCGAGCACAATTCAAAGTGTTGGTGCTGACCTTTAAAGCCCTAAACGGCCTCGGTCCTGTATACCTGAAGGAGCGTCTCCACCCCCATTGTTCAGCCAGGACACTGAGATCCAGCGCCAAGGGCCTTCTGGCGGTTCCCTCATTGTGAGGTTACAGGGAACCAGGTAGAGGGCCTTCTTGGTAGTGGCACAGAGCACGTTACTTCCGGGTTTTGCCGCTTGCGCATGATGCTCAAAATGACCGCATGCGCAGAAGCTGCAACCCACTCAGACGTGCCGTCACTAGTTACGTTTGCCTCTAGATGCGAACGGGGCTCAGGAACGGCTCCCGTTCGTATCTAGAGGTACCACTGTATTGTTTTTAACACTCGATTGGGAGCCGCCCAGAGTGGCTGAGGAAACTCAGCCAGATGGGCGGGGTATAAATAATAAATTATTATTATATAAGGGCAAGCACTTTTCACTGGGGAGAAATATGCTGTGCTATCTGCCCGCTGCACCCTAGCACAACTCATGACATTGCATCAGCCCCGGGACGTTTTATGAATCAGAGACACAGCACTTTAATCCATTTGCATTCCATCCCTCTGTACGCAATGCCTGTCAGTTTCAGAACCACGCCCACATGGTTCTCTAGGTTAATGATTCAGGTATGTTCTAATCACACAGTATCTTTATGACCCCCATAACTTTACTTTATCGGTGCAAATTATGGCTGAAACTCCATCATCCTCAATCCACGTTGATGAATGGTGAGCTGCTTACCTGGAAACTCGCCTCTCCTTTTAACAATTTATCGTCCCTGATTGTTTCAGATGAGGTAAGAAGGAAGATAGCATGACACCTTATGTGAACCTCTCAAGATTTCATTTGAACTGGGGGTTGAGGCCAAGCATCTGCTTTTGACGAAAAGTTTCAATAGTAGGTTTTAGGTAGCAGAAACAAGGTTCAAATCCCTTCTCAGCCACAAATCTCACTGGGCTGGTCAATCTTATAGGCTAACCTACTTTACACAGCTGTTGGGGGAATAAAATGGGGAGGAAAAACACATGCAGCTCTGAGTTTCTTGGAGGAGTATAGACAATCTTTCCATGAATTTGTTTAGCTAGAAAATCTGTGCTCTCCTTTAATAAGTTAATTCAATCAATGTCACAATAGAGCAAATTTTCTGAAACC